AGCTTCCTCACTCCCTTGTGTGTGGGGGCCATTGATCCCACGAGCAGGCGAGGAAACAGTGCTGGGGTGGAGGGAGGTTAGGCTCGGAGAAAACGAAGGACCAGCGTCGAGACCCCACTCCACTTCCTGGCTCCTGACTGACTGACAGCTCTTCAGGAGCATCCTCCGTCCCCGCTACTCTGTGGAGAGAACCCCATGGTCCCCTTGTAGTGGCATTTTTTCTCCCTGCGAACCTCCCCCTCCTCCTCATTTACCGTCGCAGTGGCCAGTGTGGCCCTCGGTAGGTGAGAAGGTGAGACTGAACGTCCCCGGTAGGGGAACGTAGCCTGACCAATACCTCTTTGTAGGGGTTTGGGCCCCAGAGCTTCCTGCTCAACTTATAGAAGTTGAGCAAGAAGCTCTGGGCTGGGGTTTGGGTCTCGGCCCCACCTTTGGTAGCTGGTGATCCTGGGCAATGCATTTAACCTTTCAGAAAGCAGGGATGATCATTGCACTGAGCTCAGAGGGTAATTCTGAGATTTAAATGAGGCTCTGTACCCAGAGCACCTTAGATTGAGGGTCTGACTCAGGATAAACACTCAGCAGGGGCTGCTGTGATTTTCTTCGTGGTGACCTGTGTCCACATTGCCGCTCGGCTAGTAGTCAGGTGTGGAGGCTGTTTCTCTATTTTCCGTGACCCCGCGCGGAAAGATGACAGGTTCCTGAGTGGAGGAGCTGGGGATTAAGAAATTAAAGAAAAAAAAGAGACAAGAGGCAGAAATAGAGACAAGCTGGGACCCGGGTCTCATGGAGGGACAGTCACACACACCACAGACAACACAGCGCATTTATATATTTCCAAAGAGGGGTTTAAGGTCAAAGGAGTTTTGGGTGTGCCCAGGTCCTATTCATTCCCTCATTCCTGGTACAAGGATGGGATTTAGCATATCAAGACCGAGATGGCCAAGCCAGTCACCTCGGACTCAGCTAACATTAATTTAAAGGTCATCCATCTGCATTCCCAGGGGGCCCTCTACAATCAGGCACTCAATGTGTCTCGTGTTGTGGGTGCTCTGTGGGAGCCCCCAGTTCGATGGGGCTTTGGGCAGCCAAAGTGACAAGACCCCCGTCTCCTTTTCCGTTTCTGCAGCTGAGACGGTGCTGGTGACCCCTGTAGGAGGCTTCAGTGCCACCTCTGAGTCACAGGTGGGAGGCAGCAATCCACTTGTCCCCCGATTATTGCCAGCGTGATACCGGCAGATACACCACAGGGTCGGGGGCTCTGGTTTCCCAGCTTTGGCCAGCCACCAGACGGCTGTGTGACATTCAGCAAGTTGCCTTGCCTCTCTGGGCCCTCCTCTGACCAACGAAGGGATTGCACTAGGCGGCCTGTAAACTTCCTTCTATGCCAAACCTTCGTTGCAAATGCCCAGATACTCTTGTTTCTTCCTGACATCCATGTGGGCTGGGGTGGAAGTTGAGTCAGATGGCCATGACCGCAGTCTATCCCTGGACAAAGGCAGGTCACCCCACCCCCACCCACACCCCCTGATGACACTGGATGGAACACCCACGTGTTTCTGAGTGCCTCAGTCACAGCTGGCCTGGGCCAATAGTCTTAATGAAGGTCACTTATCAAATTCATTCATGAGCAGCCTCTTAACATTCTCTCCCTAGTAGGGCTATCTCCATGAAAGCCATTCGCGACCATGAGTCATGAAGATATTTAGGATTTTTCCTGGGCTGCGTCTTTCAGCTCAGCCTCTTGGGTTCTGTTCTCAGCGGGGCCCCAGCTCTCTAGCTGGGTAACTGGGCTTCTCTGCTGTGGGTGAACTCATGACCAGCGAGCCTGTGCATGTGCGTGGAGGGTCCTTGTTCAAATAATGTATTCCTATGAGCGCCTGGGCTTTTGGATAGAGTCAGAAGGTAAAGCCTGGTTGGTTGTGCCAGAGATTTCTGGGCATCGTCTTTCACAAGATGGGGAGAACCAGATAGCCAGCTCTTTGGAGGATTGCTCAGTTGGCCTCTGATTGTCAAGGCCGTGTATCCATGATGACACTGGGAGGCAGTCTCAGAGCTGAGTCCTCCTCAGTTAGATTCTTGGCTGCCACCTGGGTTTCTATGGCCAGGATTTGTCCAGTCTACACTTGCTGCTGTAGTCACTTCTGTCAGGTGTGCATAAAACCCAGCTGTGTAGAGGGAAGATGTGTTATCCTTCAGGTTTAGCTTTGGCTGAACAGAACAGAAAACCCCCAAACAACACCAGCTGAAGCATGAGACTTAATTTTTTTCTGTCATGTAAAAAGTCAGGAGGTAGGCAGTCCAGGGCAGAGACCTAACTTACTGCTTTTTATCCTCATGAGCGTCACCTCATGATCCAAAATAGCTGTTGAAGCACCAGCCATTGTATTAACATCCCACATAGAGAAACAAAGAGCCCCTCCTGGAAGTCCCACTCAGTGACCATTTATATCTCATTAGCTAAAAGGAACAGGGGCACTCTCTGAGTGGCAGCTGGGAAATGGGTTTTTTAGCTGGGACATTGCCTCACCCGGAGACATATTCCTGTGACCAAGGAGGATGGAGAGAATGGACATTGGTGCAGACAGATGCCCAGCACTTACTTGAACGACTAAGTAGATAAGGGATGGAGAGTGTCTGTGGGGTAAGTGTAGACTGAACCTTCATATTAGTAGTGTTCACCGTATGACAAGATCAACATAATTCTGACACCACCCTGCAGGAAGGAAGGAACCTTTGGAAACTTCTAAAACTCAGTAGGAACTTGAAGAGGGTGTTCTGCAAGGCCCCTGTAGCTGGGCTTCCTCTCTCCCTTCTCTGTAGAGACTTGGTTCCCTCATTTGAGCTCATCAGATGCATGGCAGGGGGGTGAGGAGGTGCTGGCCCGGGCATGGCAGCCACGTTTCTGAAGGTCCCTACCAGGATGTCTCTTTTTTAGTTGAGAAAAGAAGAGCTTCATCATTCAAGCAGGGAGACCTGGGGATGAACTGAATGTTGATGAACTGAAATACTAAAATTTCCTTAAGAACATATTCAAATCCCTCTTTAGAAAATGCTAGAATCCCGTGGGATGTGTTATTGTGGCTGATATTGGTCTGAGCCTGTAGGCAGTTGGTGGTGCAGGGTGGGGGCAGCTCTTAAGTGACAGGTCCCCGTGCTTCCTCTTCCCCCATCACATCCGGGCGAATGGAGGCCCCAGGAGAGCTGCCCTCACGGGGGAGAACGTGGATGGGCCCCGAGGCACGGGGTCTGGAGCAGCGAGTTGTGTTGCAGAGAGCACATCGCACTGTCTTGTCCCTCCTCGGTGGGTTGGTCAGTTCTATGGAGAGCAGGTCCTTGTCCCCACCGTGTGGCTGAGGCAACCTGTGTGGGTGTGTGGTCCAGGGCGCACAGCTGTCCACAGCAGGCAGGTCTCTGGGCCACTGCTGGAAGCGTTAGCCTGGCATTCATTCAAGGCCTTCCCCTCTTGATTCCTTTCTGAAATCGCTTTGTCAGGTCTCCTGCAGATACTGTGTTTCATAATCCTGTTTCCTTTATGGTCCTCCTACCCTCATTTTCAAATCACCCTGGCCTTTAGTCCTCAGTTCAGGACCATCCTCCTTGAAGGAAGCCGTCCTCAATTCCTCTACTGGAAAGTTTCTCCTTCACATCCCCTCACTACATGTTTCCCTCCGTCCCGTGGCACCTTGTTACGGTGTGGTGTCGGCTCCCGACCACGTTGTCATTGCCTGGGAGGGCAGGTGTGGTGCCAAGGCTGTGTTCAGTGAGGGATGGAGTGTGGCACCCAGGGGTTCACAAAGCTGCTCCTTGCCTGGGGCCAATGGGCTCCACGCAACCGTCTCGGAAAGTGTCCTCAGCCTGTGGTCTCTGAAGACTTCCTCTAAGTCATGTGAGACTTTGACGATTTGTGGGGGCCTCGTTGTTCCCCTTCGCAGTCCCAGGGACTGCCCTGTGAGTGTCCCCCAAGTGTATGTAACATTGACTGATGGGTGGTGGTGGTGGGGGGAGCAGCATTTGGCAATGTCTTGCCTATGCTCTGCCTGCGAGAGCAGTGACCTGAGGCTGTGTTGTTGAGTACCGGTGCGATCACATGGTCCTCTCTTGAAGGAGGCATGTCTGGTCTACAAAGAAATAGAATGCGAGTCCACTATGTCATTTCACACTTTCTGGTATCCCCAGTCAAAAAAAAAGAAAAGAAAAAAAAGAAAAAGTAGAAATAGTATATTTTATTTAACCCAGGATATCCAAAACATTGTCGTTTCATCATGGAATTCACATGGTTATTATGAAGAATTACTATCTATTGTTACTATCGTTATAATTTTTTTTGTAGTAACAAGTCTTTACAACTTGGGTGTTTTACATTCATTTTGGATTGATGACATTTCTAATACTTGAAGCCGCTTGTGGCTGGTGGAAGCCCCATGTGGTCAGCTGCCGTGTCTGTTGATTCTCCCACTTGATGTTCCCTGAAAATGAGGGTGAATTGGCTGGGGGCCTGTCTGGCCGAGTGACAGCGCTGGGTGGGTCTCGCAGGGTCTGGTCACAGCTCTGCTTCTCACCAGCTCTGTGAGCCCGGGAAGGCCTGCGTCCCTCACCACGGTCCCCACCTTAGGATGGAGCCGTCAGTGTGCGATCCTCTGGGGAACTTCTTGCGTGCCATGCTGTGAATGGAGCCCCGATCTGGGCAGGGACGGGGTTGGGGACCACTGCACTCCCTTTGGCATTCCTAGCAAATGAGAACCACTCTAGGACAGGTCCTGGATGGCCATGCCTGCCGTCCGAGGGGCTGGTTTGCCATCTCTGACTCTGACCAGAGCTCGGCATGTGTATCTGGCCTGCTGGGTTCTGGGCTGTGGACATTGTCCATCCATCGGCCCAGCCGGCATTTACAAGGACCCGCGGGGGCCAGGCCTGCTCCGGCCTCTCCTTTGGGAGGCTGGGAGGGGCCAGCGGGAGCCCTGCTGTCCTGAGGGCTCACGGGGGCACTCTCTCACCAGGCTCAGCTGGAGGCGCAGAAGGCCACGCAGGACTTCCAGAGGGCCACCGAGGTGCTGCGCGCTGCCAAGGAGACCATCTCCCTGGCCGAGCAGCGGCTGCTCGAGGACGACAAGCGGCAGTTCGACTCGGCCTGGCAGGAGATGCTGAATCACGCCACCCAGAGGGTGAGTCACAGCCGTGTGAGCCGCGGGAGGGGGACCTGGGCGTCCCTGTCTGTGAGCGCCCGTGTGTGTGTGTGTGGGGGGTGTCCCCTTGAGGGGTGCTGTACGCCCATCTCTCACATGCGGACTGGCCCCTGGTTTGGTGAGTTCTGCGTGTGCTGTGTCCCCACGCAGAGGAAACAGGCTCCCGGGCATGCGGCCTAACACCGCTCTCTGAGAGTGCCAGGGCAGGAACAGAGAAAGCCAGGAGTGAATGCCAGCAGCCTCTCCCTTTTCAGGGTCCCTTGTCACAGTGGTTCAAGTGCCGGGGACCTGATAACGAAAGATGGCCTGGTGTTTCCTTAAATAAAAGCTGGCTGGGCGTGTGTAGCCTTGGGCCTCCTGCCCCCTAGTGGACACGATACTTAGAGAGCCAAACACAGACCTGAACAGCTTTCCCGGGTCAGCTGATAAAACCCAAAGCAGAGGTTGAGATCTTGGAAATTTATCAATACAAGCCACAGGCTGAAAGATATGAAAAGGGCTCTTCTCTCTCCCCCCCACCCCCCTTCTCTCTCTCTCTCTCTTTCTCTCTCTCTCTCTCTCTCTGTCTCTGTCTCTGTCTCTGTCTCTGTCTCTCTCAACTCCTCCCAAGAAATTAGCTGGAGGTCATCTTCTTTTCCTCTTTTAAAAAAAAATATATATATTTTTATTGATTTCAGAGAGGGAGGGAGAGGGAGAGAGATAGAAACATCAATGAGAGAGAATCATTGACCAGCTGCCTCCTGCATGCCCTACACTGGGGATTAAGCCCACAACCCAGGCGTATGCTCTTGACTGGAATCGAACCTGGGCCCCATCAGTCCGCAGGCCAATGCTCTCTCCACTGAGCAAAACGGACCAGGGATCGCCTTTCCTTCTTGCCCTCCCTCCACCCCTCCCACTGAAGATTCAAACTAGCCAGAAGAAACCATTTCAGAAATCACTTGATCTGCTCTTTAAAAAGAACAAAACATGTTTCTGCCTTTTTTTGTTCCCTTAGTAAGTCCTGGGGCCTAGTGGATGGTGAGTGGCTGTACCACAAGGAGGTGTCTCCTGGACACCCATGTTACACAACTCCATCCCCCGTGGGAATGGTGCTGCTTGGGATGGTGCAGTGAGAGACTTGTGGGGCTGGGTCAGACTTCTCTGGCCTCCCGTTAGGTAGGCTCCTGATGGGTGTCCTGCGGCCACTGGGGGTTCCTTGGTCGTGGGGGTAACCACTGCAGATGAACAGGTGTTGGGTTTCCACCTGGGCTGCTGGTCCTCTTCCCAGATTCCTTCCCAGTGGCCTGAAAGGCTGCTGCTTGAACTGCTGATGGCGAGGGAGAGTTCGCAATTGACACCAGCAAAAGACAGAGCTGGTGGCAAAGCTTTGCACCCTTGGGTCATGGAAAAACTCAGCCCACAGGGGCTGTGCTCCCTGAATCGGACGGATGGGCAGCTGCTCTGTGAGTGGCTTGGCTGCCAGCCTCCCTCTGGCTTTAGCTTCTTCCCAAGTGGAGCTCCTGCCCCCTCCTCTTTGGGGGCCTGGCACGCTCGGCTTGCTGAACAGTGCTGGATGGAGACCATGAAGTGTCTGGGATATGTCTCCTGTCCTGTCTGACCTGTGGATACGCTGGGAAGCCTGTTTCTTTAGGAGAAGGGGGTGTCATGTCACCCCTCTTCTACGGAAAGTACTCATCAAGGGTCTAGAGAAAGATCCAGACTCGGGTCCCCAACTGTCTTGAGGGATTGGCAGTGGTTTGGGCTACCTGATCCCCGCCCCCCTCAGGCATGGTGGGAGAACACTGGGGTCCCTATGTTCCTTGCCCGAGGCCATCAGTGTGTTTCCTTTGTACCCCTCAGTCTTCACTGGTAATATTTCCAAGGGCTTGGAACTTTCGGAGTGTTTAATGTTAGAAAAAGCCTTTTGATTTAGGGCTGAGATAGACAAGGGCCCTGTGTGCAGCTGGTGAGAACTCTGTACAGTAGCTTCCAATCGAAGCTTTTCTGTGTGTCAGTTTAAAATACTTACCTCCTTAACGGTGAACATTGAAATCTTCCGTAATGGAACAGCTCACCCCCAGTATGTTGTATTCTGTCTGAGAAGCTTGGGGTTTTGAGTTCTCATTAAGAGTTACACTAGTAAATCCTGAGAGCCTAAGATGGAAGACAAGGGTGTGTCCAAGTATGCAATGTTTTTAGTGCATCTTATTTCTTTGTGAAGTCTTTGGTGTTAGAAGCAAAGAGAAAGGATGGTCTTGGTTGAGAAGTCATTTTAGCAAGGATGTCACTGCATGTTAGCTTAGCTTAGTTCTCTTCTCTGGCTTTGTTTTAATTCTGTTGTTTTAAAAAGTATCTCAAGCATTGAAACTTTGTGAAAAGGTATTTTAAAGAAAATAAAAGCTTTATTAACTAAGGAGGGAACTAGTAAGATGTACAACTATTTCAAAGGAGAATTCAATAAACATACATTCATGTAGAAAATGAGGGATGCAGACACAGATTTTTAAACTGGTGCAAAATTGGTAAATATTTACAGGGTAATCAATATTATCAAATGCACCTCCATTGGGACAGAATTCATCTTCATTTCTAGGAATAAGAATAATTTGGATTACTATCAATTTCCTATAACTTAACAGGGTCATACAATAATAGCTCCAGGACAATGAAGGCTGGAGATGACCTGGGAGGGTGTGCTAGACAGGACACCCACTAACTTTTCATGCTCACTCCAGTCTTTCATACATTTTCCCGGCACTTCATAATTATCCTGGACAGCAAGGATAATGGCCTTGTCCTGATGTTGTCATGCCTACTTTTGCTAGGTATCCCAATTCTTTGATGTCTAAGATCCCACTGGTGCTATTTGCCCATTTGCCTGCCCCAAGGTGGAAGCAGGAAACCAAGCTACTTCGACCCAGGAGGCCTGGGCAGGAGGAAGTGGACATTGATTGAATCAGAGACTGATTCATTTTTATTTTAGTTTTGCTTTTCCTTGCTTTCTTTCTCAGTCATTGCCACAGCCAATTTAGCTATTTAGTCCTACCTGACAAAAGACTTTTCCAAAATAGAAAAATGGGATGAAGTAATCCTATGCTAGATGGTAGTTTCTTAGTCTGCCCATTAACTTACTCAAAGGGTATTTAAAAAAAAAATGACATAATACCCCAACAAGGGACTGTTCCGGGCTTGGCTGGGTTGACCTCTTCTGTTGTTTGAAGGTCATGGAGGCAGAGCACACCAAGACAAGGAGCGAGCTGGTGCACAAGGAGACGGCAGCCAGGTACAACGCGGCCATGGGCCGCATGCGGCAGCTGGAGAAGAAGCTCAAGAGAGCCATCAACAAATCCAAGTGAGTCTGGGGGTGAGGGACCTGAGGCCATATGGCTGTTCTCTTCTTCCAAATTTCTCAACCTTTCATGTGCCTTGCACTCAGGGACCTGCCTCACCAGAACCTCCTGCTCAGGCTCCCCATCCCAGAGGGACAAGTGCTGAGTGAGCCTGCTCCTGGGGATCACAGAAAAAGGGATTCCAAAAGCAAACCATTCCATGGCCCATTGGCTGGGCCTGTTCACCTGTCAGTAGAAGGAGAGAGCTGTGTATGCAATACATGTTCTTTGTGGACAAGAGCTGATGAACTGGTGCAAGACTGGTTTTAATGGAGGTTTTCCCCAAGCTCTTCTCACTACCATTGCTGTATATTTTTATACAGTAACTATTTGGAGAAAAGCCCCCATGTTTTACTTACAGTTGCTGGGCCTCCAAGCAGAAGAGACAAGACTTGGGAAGGCCTAGACCAACAGCCAAAGACAGCCCCAGAGCTTCATGGCAGGTGAACAAATCAAGAGTAAAGTATTGGTCTATACTTAATGCTCAGGCGCCAGTCCCTAAAAAGAGCCAGGGTCTTCTGGCTGACCTAGAACCCAGGGTACTAGTATTATGTTTGCATTTCTTGTTCTCGCTCTTGCCCATGACCTGGTTGGGTCTGTAGACCACCTCATACTTCTCTCCTGGACAAAGCCCCAGGGGACACACCTGAGCCCATCCTTCCAGTGGCTCTACTGTGGTCAGGGGAGGCCTGGTGCTTCCCCCTTCCCCAGCTTTTAGCAGGTGTGTTTTGAGGCAGCCCCTTCTCCAGCCTTATCTGCTGGTCATTCCTGGGGAGCCCACCTCCTTAGAAGAGACCCAGGCCACATTAGCTGCAGGGCACAATCTGTGACCTTGCACAGCCTCCCCAGAGAGGAAAGTGAACCAGGGTGCAGGGGCTCCAGGATACCTGTACATGTGTGGGTTCCCCAAATCTTGAGTGAGCCCACTGCCTCTGGCATCTGTATCCATCAGGCCCCAGAGCTGGGAGCACCACCTTCAGCTCACGACCTCGTCAGTTTACTAAATCCTGGAAGGAAGACCTAGCCTCACACACCTCATTGGAGTTTATTAGTGGTCACTGTGTTATATTACTCATTTTTTTTTTCTTTCTTTCACAGGCCTTATTTTGAACTCAAGGCAAAGTACTACATGCAGCTCGAGGTATGTGTGGCCTTTGGCTTTGTTGGTGATGGGATTTTTATGCAAAGCCCTGCTTTTTGTGATACTTCCAAATACCTCATTTGCTGCAAGAGGAGAGTGGAGAGACATTCTTTAATGAGTTTTCGAGCCTCTAAATGATCTTGAGTGGTGTTCTCTACATCTGATGATGAGTCATTTTCTTTCTTTAAAGAATATATATATATTTTTTTTTTACAGAGAGGAAAGGAGAGGGATAGAGTTAGAAATATCGATGAGGGAGAAATACCGATCAGCTGCCTCCTGCACAATCCCTACAGGGCATGTGCCCGTAACCGAGGTACATGCCCTTGACCGGAATTGAACCTGGGACCTTTCAGTCCGCAGGCCGACACTCTATCCACTGAGCCAAACCGGTCAGGGCTGATTAGTCACTTTCTATATTGTTCTGGGCTTTGGTTCTCAGTATGCTCCTAGGACCGGCAGCATCAGCATTGCTGGGGAACTAGTTAGAAGTACCAGTTGTCAAGTAGTCCCCCCTCCCCTCCCACTGTGAATGGAGCCCTCCAGGGTATTCTGATACAAGTTGGAGAACCACAGTGCCGGGGACCAAATGGCTAGCATGTGGGACTTCTGTGTGAATTTGACACCCACTGTGGTTTCCGATTGGGTTTGTCCTACCAGTGGTAGTTTCTGGATATGGAACTTGTTTGTTACCCAGTTGGGAGTGGTCGAGTCTGCTTTTATATCTGGTACATGGACAGCTGTGATAAGAATAATCAGGTCTTCAGTCATGTCTTGGAGTGAAGGGCAGAAGACATGCTTGGGCCTGTCATTCAAAAGCATCACCAGGCCAGGAGGGGCAGCCTTCACTCACTGAGCCTCCTGTTCTCCTGACCAGCAACTGAAGAAGACCGTGGACGACCTGCAGGCCAAACTGGCCCTGGCAAAAGGCGAGTACAAGACGGCCCTGAAGAACCTGGAGATGATCTCGGACGAGATACACGAGCGGCGGCGCTCCAGCGCCATGGGGCCTCGGGGCTGCGGCGTGGGGGCCGAGGGCAGCAGCACCTCCGCAGAGGACCTGTCAGAGCGCAAACCCGAGCCAGATGCTGTTTCCGGTGGGTCGGGGGCTTGTGTGCAAGTTGTGTGGTCGGCTTACAGCGGTGTCACCACCACCACAGAAGGGCCTCACTTGGGTGGGGCCCAGGGCTCTTTCTGGTGACTTACCACGTTTTGTGGAACCCTGTTGTTCATCAAGTTGCTACAGAGTGTTCCTCAAAATCAGGATTCTATGGTCAAATAAGTTTGGGAAAATGTCTTATGTTCACACTGAGGTTCAAAGTGCATACTAGAACATACAAGGATCTGAGAAGCACTGCAGGAAAGAAGAGCTAAGAACAGGGGCTTAGGTTTGATTCCAGTGCTCACCTTTCCATCATTACTAGCACACGATGCAGGCAAGGATTCATCTTTATATCTGTTTCTTCAGCTGCAGAATGGGGAGTATGGGAGTACCTACTCACTACTGTAGAGTGGTGTCTGACCAGAGAGAGACCTTTCCCAGGGAAACTGGTATTAGGTTTGGTGGGGCTCCCTCTATGTTAACCAGGAAAACTCTCCAACACCATCTTTGCACAATTTCTCTTCCGTGCAATGGTCTCCGGTGGCTCTTTCCCAGGCTCCTTTCCAATAAACGTCCAAGGGCCGGGCACAAGTAAAGGAAGAGGAAACTATAATCTGAGAATCAACAATATGAGGACTTTGATATACATCATCTCATTTACCCTCTGTGGAGAGGAATGTGAAGCTCAGAGGGGTTAAGTAACTTGACCAAGGCTATACAACAAATAGTGGAAATAGGATTGGGAATCAGGTTTGAGTTCATTTTGCCCCTAACATTTCAGTATTTCTCATTTATGGTAATCATTTGTGGGATGCTACAAGGCTGTTTTTAAAGATGAGGGAGGAAGAAAGGGGAGAAGAGGAAAAACCTAATCAGCAGGATTATGTGCAGGCAGAGGGAACTAGTTAAAAGGCTGAAGTGGCTTTCAAACCATGACCCTGACATGTCTCTGGGCCTTGGTTCTTCTGGTCTAAAAGTGAAATTACAGAGTGCCGGGAAGGAATTTTCTTCTGCGGCAAACTGTGACCTAGGTAGGCTCTGAGCGTGTCTTTTGAGATCGCAAGTCACTGGAAGACAACAAAGGTCCAAGCAGGACTGTTTCTCCCAGTGGCTCCTGCTTCTGTTGTGGATCCTTTACAAAGGGCCGGCCAGTCCTGACCCCTCCCTGTGCACATGAAAATCTATTTGGGGGCTGGGGTGGAGAAAAGTCCCTGATCTGTGGCTGAGTTCATCTTCTGCCTTTGGACAGTATCTACCGACACTAACTTGTAGGGCACACACAGGCTACGACATTATTGCAAGGACACTGAACATGCATGGGATCCAGCTGCTGTAGTCTGGTCGTGCATGCTCGGGAGGGTCACGTTCCTTTTATTAGGCACCCACAGTGGCAGGGATTCTGCAAGCCCCCGTGCTGTGTCTAGCTGTCTGCAGCAGCAAACGCTTCTGGAAGTGTTTAAGGAATTAGGCTGCTATCAGAACCTGTGTAACTGGTGTTCTCTCTCTCATCCCAGTGGCCTCCGAGGCCTTTGAAGATGACAACTGCAGCAACTTTGTGTCTGAAGATGACTCGGAGACCCAGTCTGTGTCCAGCTTTAGTTCGGGACCAACGAGCCCATCTGGGATGGCTGACCAGTTTTCTGCAGTTGTGAGGCCCGGCAGCCTGGATCTGCCCAGCCCCGTGTCCCTGTCAGAGTTTGGGGTGATGTTCCCTGTGCTAGGCCCTCGCAGTGAATGCAGTGGGGCCTCCTCCCCGGAGTGTGAGGTGGAACGAGGTGAGTTGCAGCCCTCTCACCAGGAGTGCTGTTTCGGGAGACTCACTGCCTTTGCAGCCAGGTCTCTGCACTGTCCTAGACCTTGTTCTAGACCGTGGCCAGGTCTTGGAGCCCCCAGGCTTGTGTGAATGTGCTGTCGGTGTTTACCACTGAGATAGTCTCCAAGTCCTGTTCTGAGGACTTCTGGCTCCATAGCGTGGGTTGTCTCTCATCACAACAGTCCTCTTGACAAGCTAGAGGTTTGTTTCCCAGCTATTAAACGAGTATGACAATTTTCATCTCTAAAAATAAGGAAAATAGAAAACGCTCTGAGGAATAAAAGCTATATGACGGAGAACCCTCTGTTATATATACGTGTTGGGTCACACTGGGAAATTCCAGAGGGTTAAGTAGGCTGATTACTAGTTTGGGCCTAAGTGAGCATTGACAATTCCAAGAGTCACTTAATCTTTATCTTTCTATAGGAGACAGAGCAGAAGGGGCAGAGAATAAAACAAGTGACAAAGCCAACAACAATCGGAGTCTTAGCAACAGCAGCAGTGATGGTGGCAAGAACCAGAGCAGCACCCCCCCTGAGGGCCAGGCCTTGGCCAACAGGATGAAGCAGCTCTCCCTCCAGTGCGCAAAGGGTCGAGACGGGATTATGGCTGACAGAAAAATGGTGCAGATCGGCTGATCCAACCGAGATCCTAGCCCCAGTGCACATCGCTATTTATATGAGAAACTGATTGGAGAACGCTGTGCCAATAACCCTTTAATATATGCCAAATCGTAAGTGTTTACTCTGAACTGCACTGGTGAGGCTTCAGAGACCGTAAGGCTGAAGATTTTTCCTCTGGCAAGAGCTCTCGGGCTGGTTTGTTTTCAGAGCAGAGTTGTTGCCGCGGGTGGACTGTGACCAGGGCACAGTCTTGGTGGAACGTTAACTGAAACAGTGTTATGGAAGCAATAACTAGTTCCCACGAAAGAACCCGAGCAGGAAAGGAGCTGGGAAGCTGAGCCCAGCTGTGGTCAACAGCTTGCTTCTCTCACCCCCCCCCCCCCCCCCCCCCCCCCCCCGTTTGGGAAAACAGAGATGGGTCTTTCCTTTTATATCTTAGGGTAGCTAATGCAAGACAAATTCAGAACATACGTTTTTGACTCAGTCAGTGAAGGTTTAAAAAAACCCCAAGAACACAATTCATTTTTATCATCTCTGATGTTTAAAAGGGGCTTTATTTTTAAGTAGTTAAAACACCCATTAAAACCATTTTCTATAAAGGTTACTATGAACTGCACTTTTTGGGGTGGGAGGTTGGGGAGGTGAGGGTAGCAAGGACATATCAGAGAGATCTGTGGCTGGGGAAGAAAAGGTTGTATAGTATAAACCTTATTCTACCAGCCAAGGGGACTTATTCTGAGAAGTGCATGTGAAGAATGGTTGCCAAGGTGTTAATTTCTCTGTAGGTTGTAACTTTAAAATTATTTAAGGGTTATGCTACACTAGTATTTCTTAGAGGAAATTGTCTCAAAGTTAGGAAAGGGAGTAGGCATGTGTTGGCGAAGGCTGTTAAATAGATGCAATGGAGTCTGTTTATTCTAATAGTTAAGACTGCTTTTCTTTAATGTTTTCAAGGTTACACATATTTAAGAGCATTGTATTTTATTGGTTTTAAGAAAACTTGGCATTTTTTAAAGGAAAGAAGCAACCCCATTTCAAATTGTTCATTAATTCTGTCACATTTTGTATATTTTAGTCATTTGTAAATCTCTTCATACTGTTGTGTTTTCTCCTTTTTTAATGACGATACAGTATCTTAATTACAAGGTTATTTTGTACTCGTCTTAATAACTGAGTGTAATAAAAACCACTTAAGAAAATGTCTTAACTTGCTATGACTTCAAATGAGAAATCCTTATTTTGTCTAAATCTTGTAGGTAAATTTCTTGCCACAGGAAGAGCATGGAATGCAGTGGTCATCTGTTCTTATTTCCAATTAAACTACCATTTACAAAGGTTTGAATTCTACTTTTGCTGCTACAAATCTGAGCAGTTAGGGGACAAGGTGGTTATATTGGAAAAGTGATTCTCAACCTCTGCTGCACATTAGGTTCTCCTAGGAAGCTTAAAAAACTTCTCTGGTCTGAACCCTAGAGATTTGATTTACTGTTGGGGTATGCTTGGGCAGTGGATTTTTAAAAGCCTCCTAGCTGATTCTATTTGGTCTAGCCTAGCCAAAATGAATAATTTCCCTTCTATACATCTGTAGCACTGTGTTTGGAGATCTCTTATAGAATTAAACATTACAGTACATGAACTTGCTCATAAACAGGTCTCCTCCATTAGATTATTTTTGAAGGCAGGGATTAGAACTTAATTCAGTTTGCATCATGTAATTCTTTAACACAAGAAGTTCAAATTACATATATGTTTAAAATAAAGGCCATAGAAAATTATATTTACCAAAAAGAATTCTCACTAGTATAATAATCTACCACTGTCCTGAATTATAAAGAACAGATTTTTTAAGCAAATAATGAGTTTTTCTTTTTTACATGGAACATACTTATGAAGTCCTTTAATAATCAAATTTCTCTCAGTTAAACTATACAGTTTCCGTAAGTATAGTATAAACATTTTATTTCAATTAAAGGTATCAAGTACAAAATAAGTTTGGTAATTATAAGAAATGATGTAAAATACCACCTTATTTTCAGATCTTTAAAATCTTGAGCATCATTCTGCTCTGATGGATTTTTATGTAAACAACTGGGAATTTATACACAAGACATTAGTATCTTGGCAACTTCCCTGAATGCAATCCCAATTAAAATATATTAAATTCTCAATTATATTTTCTTCAGAGTGCTGTTACCATTAAGAGCACTGAACTAGAGAGCAATTAAAAAGTACCAACTAAACAGTGATGTCTTCAATGTCTCAGACTACTACTTTCATTAACCTGATAAAAAAATGACTGCAACAGCGAATACATATACTTCAGTTCTCTTTACATGATTCAATGGGAGACAGGTACTATAACAACCTTCACTCCTAAGCATGAGCATCTTCATGCTAAGCTAATAAGTAATTCTTAAAGCTTTATTCTTTCATAACATCTGGGCCACAAACATTTAGTCATAAGCGGTGCAGAATTAAAATCTGTAATGGTGACTTTAATTCATTTGGTAATTAGTTGCCCAAGATGCACAGTAGAGTCACAACACAAGCAGGTTTTACCTTACAACATGCTCTGCCAGAAAGACAATGTAGATAGTTGAGATTATACCAGCCTACCATTCCATTCAATGAGTCTATGTCCCTCATCTGGTCTCAATTCCCTCTTAGCAAAATCACATCACAGTGTGATTGAGTATAAGCTTTAATCATCTGCACTTTTTAAATACACTGTGGCCCCTTATAAATGCAAGCCAATTCACAGATACACAAAACCATGTAAATGGTACTCCTAAGTAATTTATGGTAATTCTGTCCATATACAATTCTCACTAAACACTCTGCCTTGGGCACCGGATTCCATTGTAACCTTTTTGGAGAATTAATTCTGTTCTTACTGTTTAGTGTCCTGCAGATTTGTATCCTCATTTGAAGAGTTGATTGTTTGGTAAGTATAAAATCCAGTAAGTGCAGCAATTTCCCCATCACTGAAGCTGTGTTGTCTTGATGGGAATAATACTATTAAAGTCCAAGAAAAAAGGTCCGTCTTGTTTAGGCAAAAATGTACTGGGAATGATATTGTAAATCCCAGCAGGTATATTTTCGAATTCCAGGTAGCAAAACCCACACCTGTATTTAGGGAAAATAAAAACAAGGCTTACAGAAGATGATGCCACAATAAGCAGAGCATAAAATATAATCAAATGCCAACCTTACCTGTAGTCACCACTAGATTTCCTCTGAAAGCCATGGGGACCAGGATCTCCCACCATAGACACTGTTACAACTTCAAACCCAACACTATACTGCCTAGCAGTAAAAAGAAACAGAATTACTGCTAAATAAGTCTTCAAATACATACCTAAAAATAAGTATACCTCAAGTGCAGATATACCATTAAAATCAAGTACAGGCTTTCTAAAGCTTCAGGAGGGAGAAACAACACTGAAACGCATACTATTTTTACACTAATTATAGAAAACACCATTTCTATTTAAAAACTGCAGCCATAAAGATTAACACATTAAACTTATTTTAAGAGAGACTACATTTTACTATAGGCTCCCAGGTGGTAATGTTAAATTGAAATGATAAAAATACTGTCATTGTATTAGGCAGAACAAATGGGACAGGAGAGAAGACCCTGAAAAAAAATCTAAATTTAGGAAAGTAATTAGCATATGGTAGACATGGCATTCCAAATCAGTAGGGAAAGGAAGTATTATTTAGGGGGTGATAAATTGTTGAATTGTATCTCACACCAAATATAAAAATACATTCCATGTGGATTAGAAAGTATAATGTAAAAAATAAAAACATAAAAGAACCCGAAGAAAATATGGTGAAAATTAATTTACTATTGGGGTGAAATTTCCTGCCTACAGCAAAATAAACTAGAAAAGGCTGATTACTTTAAAATAAGCTTTTTTTCCTATGAAAAAATTTATCTGGGAAAAATACTTGCAAATGTAAGGAGTTAATGTTCTTACAAATGAACCCTATTAAAAACATGACAACTCCAACAAAAAATGGGCCAGACATGAATTAGCAAAATAGGAAAAAATACACATTGTCAAGTATTTTTACATGTTCAATCTATCTAGAAATTAAATACAAAAGGGTAATCAGATACCTTATATCACCTAGAAAACTGATAAAGATTTTTAAAATGATTGTGAAAAGTAGCTTAGTTCTATTAGGATTATTAGTTTCTTTTTTTTCCTTAATTTTGATTTTTTACCTAGAGGAAGGGAGAGGGAGCTAGAAACATCAGCTGCCTCCTGCACACCCCCTACTGGGGATGTGCCCACAACCAAGGTACATGCCCTTGACCAGAATCAAACCTGTAATCTCTACTTTTTAAACCTCTTAAAATTGTAAAATATATCACAATGACATAAAACAAATAATTTGTAAAGTGAACAAATACCTAGGTTACCACCGCCTAAATCAACAGAACCTCTCAGCACCACTGAAGTCCTTGTATCTAACTTTCTCATCACAATGCCTGTGCCCACAAAACTTGCACTTTCTTGCTTTGTATATAGCGTGACTATCAAAGTGTGCACCCTTAAACAACAGTTTAATTTTGCCTGTTCTTGACTTTATGTAAGTGGAATCATGTAATATATATTGTTATGTTTGGCTTCTGTTTTTTAAGACTTTTCCATCATGTAGTGGGTCGCTATAATTTATTTTCATTGTTATGTAGGACTATTTTATAATCTTAAATGCCACTAATGTACATCTGGACTGTTTCAAATTTTTGGCTTACAATGGTTTATTGGCCAATTGGATTATCTCTTTTTATGACATGCTTGTTCAAGTTTTTATTTAAAACAAAAAAACTGTAGACTTTTTCCCCACTAATGTAGCACATGTAAAAATATTTTTGTTAAGATATCTCCTATATTAGCAATCTACCTGGAACTGATTTTGCAATCTGATATGAGACAGGGGTCTTAATTACCATTTTGGTACATGGATACTCAATTATTTCAGCACCACTTATTGAACAGAGTATCCTTTTTCCCACCCTATGCAATAGCATCTTTAACATAAATCAAACATGCACAGGTCTGTTTCAAAACCCTATTCTGTTCTACAGAGCTCATTTTTAATATAACATTAAGAAAGTTACTCATCACAAACCTTGGTCCTCTTAGTTCAATTAGTAATGGCCCAGTCTTTTCTATATGGAATTGGTAAATGGGATTATTTCTATGAGTCTCTTGGAAATTTGCACATCCTCCGGCACTCTGACCGCTCCACTTTCCATGAATCTAACAAAACAAAGTTTTTGCATTAACAAAACTTCACATTCTCCAATTCTATGTTAAAGACAAAGCGCCTTCATACTCCCCCATATCTCCTCAAAGATAGCAACTCCCCACTCTGGCTCCACCCTCCCTCCCCAGTCTTTGTCACGACAGTTAACATCACTCTTCATTCCAGCCAGGCTACTTTGTGAAACTAAGCACTAAGCACTATCTCCATCTCTCAGCTTTAAACCAAGTTGTTCTTCCTGCCAGTAATTCTCCCTCACATCCTCTATACATCGAGCTCACCCTGTAAAGTCAACCCTCGATTTAAGAAGTTCATCCACATGGCTTTCCCTAATGATAAAGGTTTACAGTAATCTTCCTCTCAATTTCTTATTTCTGCCCACAGAATCACTTAATGTTGATCATTGAAGATCTTGTATTCCAGATTAGATAGAGGCTATTTACATTTCCCTTATTCCTCTGGACTATTTTATTTTGTAAAAATTATTAAATGTGAAGAATGAAAACAGAAAAAGGGAATTCTAAGATTTCTCTGAGATCATGACCAAGAGACATTTCTCTTACCTGCTTTGATAAGGTGTATGGTGAAGGAATCTTTGAAAAAGTAAAGCTGCATGCTGAATATACCTAGATGAAAAAATTATACTGATAAAGTTTATACTTATAAAAATACCAAAGTGATAAAATAGGAAGGCTAAGAAAATTAGTTGGCACATATAAGAGTCATTCTGTAGGCAGCCTGGAATCAAGACTGGTTTAATGAAGCTAGGGAAATCTGGTATTCACTTTCTTAGGCCAAATCACAATTTCTGTAGGCCTTGTCTTCTGCATCTGAAGAGTGAAGGTAGCTCCCCAATGTTGCTTTCATCACAAAAAATCTATTCAAAGTGAATTTCTTTACTGATCTCTATGGCATACAAATCTATGCAGAACAAAATTACAATGATCTTCCCAACTTGTAATAGCAATGTTTATAGGCAATCGATTCCCTTTCACTAAATTCAGCACCTTTTCAAGTCAACAAAGGTATTATGTAGGCTAAAGGAATTTCTATTGCTTGCTCTGTAAATTTATTAGTCCTGTGTACCAAATTATTTCAGGACTAAACTTATTACTCGGGGAGGGCGGGGGAAGGGGAGAACTCATTAAAATTAAAAGATTACTTTTCAAAAGCATTATTTTATACAAGAAACATAACTTAATATTGAATTGATACACATATACATAAAAATACATAGGTAATAATTTTCATAAACTTTTTCTGTAGATAATCCCACTTACAAAGCAGAGCATATAATATACTTTATATTATTGATTTGCCACTGTATGTTGGTTACTTACCCGGACTGTGTAATGGATTGTATTCTGTTTTTCGTACTGAGAAACCACTAATGTAAAGGTATGGGTCCCAGGTGTGGTCAGCTTTATCTTAGTCAAATAATGAGGGCTGTTAATTCGAATCCCATCAATGTATGGGGGCGGGTCAGCTGCAATAAACCAGTGGGTTTACAGTAAGGAGACTTAAATTTAAGTTTTATGGTTGATGGTAGGAAAAATACTTAAATGAATGGACATCCCTTTAATTGATTCTATCTTTAAATATGTTACTAAAAAATTACAATTTCAATTAAAAAGTTTATAAATAATAAATTTGAAACTTTAAAATTAAACAGTTTCTAATAAAGGAAAAGCAATAGTGTAGAATACATTCAATGATATAGAGGATAATCCCTGCTATTTGCCCTATGCTGCTCTCTTTCTCCAATAGATTTTAAAGTCAGGACTTGCTTATTTTCTTTTGAGAAAAAAATTTTAAAAGATACAAAGTAGTAATGAAAAATGAATCTATTCCCCACTACTCAGAATTAAAATTTTTTTCTATATTAGCTTCTTTATAAAACGAAGTCCGTTTAAACCACCACCCTTAGTCTTATTCTAATTCCACTCTGATGGAGTTGATGGACATTTTTTCAAACTTTAACACCCCACTTCCCCCTAAAAAGGAATGAATGGGTAATAGTTATCTGTGAGCATATATTTAAAAAAGGAATCTATGTCTATATCTTTAGTTTTCACTCAACATGTTTTTGAAATCCATGCTGATGTAGATATGGTTTATTCCTTTTAAAACTGCCTATATGTTATTGTATGAATATAACATTTTTTATCTATACCCATATCTAGTTATCCAGACAATCTATTCAGATTTCCAGTATTTTGCTATTACAATGTTGCCTGATATAAACTTTTATTAATCTCATTAATCAAAGCTGACATAAAATCATTTCATACATGTGCATACATAGGCCACTTTAGATCAGTGCTGCATCACTTGGCTTACTTGGGAACACTATTTATAATGTGATCTATTAGGAAAACATTTTATTTTAAATCCTCACCTGAGGACATTTTTTTAATTGATTTTTTAGAGTGGAAAGGAGAGGGAGAGACAGAGAAACACCAATGTGAGAGAGAGACATTGATTGGTTGCCACCTGCAAACATCCTAACCAGGGCCAGTAGCCTACAACCCCTGCAACTAAGGTATGTGCCCTTGATCAGAATCGAATCTGGGACCCTTCAATCTGCAGGCCAATGTTCTATCCACTGAGCCAAACCAGCTAGAGCCGAAAAACATTTTAAAATCTCAAACAGGTAACAAATTTCTAAAGCTTACAGGTGTGTAATCTAGCTTGAAGAGGAAAAGAATGGGCATTATCTCTGATCTTGAACAAGGTTTTAAACCTTTCTATAGCTCAGTTTACTCCTCTGTCAAAAGGGGAACAATGAGGCCTGTTCTATTTATCTGAGTGCTATGATAAAAATAAAATTACAAATTAGGAAGTACCTTGCAAAGGCAAAAATCACTATATGTGAAAGAGAGGGAGAATTGTTAAAAAAGATCCGAACAGCCAAAACTGGTTTGGCTCAGTGGATAGAGCGTAGGCCTGTGGACTGAGATTTGACTCTGGTCAAGGGCATGTACTTTGGTTGTGGGCACATCACTGGTAGGGGGTGTGCAGGAGGCAACTGGTCGATGTTTCTTTCTCATGTATGTTTCTAGCTCTCTATCCCTCTCCCTTCCTCTCTGTAAAAAATCAATAAAATATATATATATAAAAAAGAGATCAAAGTAAAAAGGGTAACATATATTTGAAATTCAAAAGCAGTGAAACATTTTAATGCTAGGAACATATTCAGAACACTTGTGCTTTTTGGGCTGTATGACCAACATGTGAAAATGGAAAATTTGTCTGGGTTAACCAGACATTTATTATTGGAGTACTATATTCCATGCCCCTTCAAGAATATCTAGGGATACTGACTGCTAATATCAATTCATGATACACACACACAGTGTGATGGGGCAGAATGCCATTTTTTATGATTAAGCAAAACAAAACTCAACTTCTGATCCCATCCTCCCCAACACTGCCCGTTTCTTTGTGCAGCCTTCTTGAAAGAACTGTCAACAACTGCCCCTTACTTCAGTCTTTTCTCAAATCACACTACTTCTCCTCCAAGTCTATTCCTGTCAAGATCAACGACGAGTGCCATGATGCTAATTTCAATCAATGTCTCTTCTCTAATCTTACTTGACCTCTCAAATAATAATTGATGTAATGGCCACTCTTTCTCTCATGAAATACTTTCTTCCCTTGTATTATATGAAACCTTACTATTTCATCAGGTACTTTGTTCAAATTCTTTTGCGGTAACTTTGCCTCTGCTTAATCTTAGGATGACAGAATTCAAGGGTCAGGTCCTGGATGTTCATCCCTATACCTACAACTCTCTCCATAGATGACTTTATACAGTGCCATCTTCAAATGCCATCTATGTGACTGCAACAAGGGCACAATGTGTTCAGGAGCCATACCTCACGGAGGGTACTGTGAAAAGAGGGTGCATGAAATCAAGGGTGACGGGAAGGTTAAGGCCAGAATCATACACCAGGATAAAGAACTCGGATTTTATCCAAGAGTCCATGGAAAACCATAGAATTTTTGATCAGACAAAAAAGATACTAAGTTTTAGAAATAAAACTCTCACAACAATGTGAACTCCCAAATTTCTGAGGACTATTAAAAACAAATAAAAACAAAACATATGTAGCATAAATAACCATCTATGCGAGTGGTTTCTATTAGTGTATCAGCATAATTTTTTGTACATTATCTCCATAAAATATAATTTTCTACTTAATCATATAAATAAAAATTTAATGTTTGTTTGAATGTTTGCCTGGATAACTAAACATACCTGGATAATACACTTTTTTCCCATCAGTCTTGTATACAACCATTGTGATAAATTCTCGATTATTTGCAAAATCATCCTAAAAGCACAAAGAATCCAATATGATTAAAGAAATGGGCTCAAATGCTCTTAAGTTGGAAAAACAAAAACAAAACAAAACAAAAAAAAAAACACAACCCAAAAAACCACCTCTAATTTTAAAAGCATTTATTTTAGCTATTCTGTGTGATTAAAATAATTATTTTTCTGGATTAAATTGTCATTCCAATAAACTGACCATATTGTATGAAAAAATATATTAAAAAAGACTCTAAAGCTATTAAAACATGGTTACCCTTTACAGAATCAGGCCTAATGATTCAAAATTTCCAACTCCCCCTATAATGTATTTTAATTTAATATTTTAAAGGCCTAAAGCATATATAATCAACATGAAAATCCTCACTAAAAGCATAAACTCCCTCATGTTTTTCTTCAGAGATGACTTTTTAAAAGACACATTTTTATTTGATTTAGAGAGGGAAGGGAGAGGGAGTGAGAGAAACATCAATGATCAGAACCACTGATGAGCTGCCTCCTGCACACCCGGGGAACAAGCCGCAACCCGGGCATGTGCCCTTGACCGGAACCAAACCTGGGACCTTTCAGTCCACAGGCTGACTCTCTAACCACTGAGCCAAACCAGCTAGGGCTCTTCAGAGATGATTTTTGAATAAAACTTCTAAGAGTGTGATTACAAATGAAAAATTTCCTTGGAGGAAAATATTCCTCTAAGAAAATACCATTTTAAAGCTACCCATATAAATAAAACAGGCTGATGATTAAATTACATATTTTGTTCACAATGGTATAATTATTTTTAAAGGAGTTTCTATATGGAATACCATAAAAAGGGTATCAGTACCTTGTCTGTTATGTGTCTACTAAGCAAAACCCAAACTGCAGCGCCCCCTTGTGGACACTGCACCTCCAATTTGTACTGGGGATTGTTGGCCAGGCTATAGGCATCTTTCACAGGTCCTTGCTTAGCATCCCAAGTACTAAAAGATCAAGTCAACAAAGAAGGAAATAATGAAGTGATGTGTTTCAGATATAATTAAGTTACCAGGTTTAGTTTTTACAGTTTTTGGCATGACTAAGAAGCATATAAAGAAAATAACTATTAGATGATAGTCATATGTGGGAATGACGAGAATACTAGTCTTCCTAAATTAATCATTTTATTTTAAATAAAAAAAAAAGACTACTTAAAGCTTATTCTGAAATATGCAAAAAAGTTACCTGTGAATACATGTTGATTCTTTAAAAAGACCTGGATTCCAACTCAAATAAATCACATCATAATATTGGCAGAGATCATCCCATGAAATCCAAAATATTCCTAAAAATTAGATATCTTTATTAATCTAAAAATATCTTAAGGATAATGACTTGTTAAACACATTTCACATTATTAAAGCATGTTATTTATTTAAAGATCAAATAGTATTAAAATGACAAAAAGATGTATTTACCATTGTCTATTTTTTGAGCTGTTCTAGGATCAAAGTTTAAATATTTTTGTAACTCTGGGGTCCAGTTTTTTACATCATTTTCACTATATCTCCCTTTCCAACGTAAATGACTCCAAGGATTTTTCAACTGGATAAATCGCAGCCCCTATTAAAAAGAAAACAAAACCAGGAGATAACATAAAAGTTACAAAACATTTTAAACATATTTTCATAAGTTGTATCATTCTCCACGGGAGGATGCATTTTGATTATGTACCAATTTGAAATTAATATTCTTTAACACTTTCACATGTCATACATCTGATTAAGAACTGCAAATGGCTACCTATCTCTAGAGCTATGCAGTTCATATGGTAGTGACTACGACTTAAAATGAAATTTAAGAATCAGTTCCTTAGTCACACTAGCCACATTTTAAGTATTCAAGGACCACATGTAGCTAGTAGTTAATGAATGGCACAGCACAGAGAACATTTTCATTGCAGGCAGTGCTGTTGGGCAGTGCTGCCTTAGAGCATCAAGTATTTCCTGTACTGTCAGAGCCTACTCTACATTGGCCCCACTATTTTCATACCCAACATCTCTGTCTAGTCTAGTCTTTCCTCTCAGAATCCCATAAATAATTCTTCTTCAATTTTACCTCTAAAGGCATTTGTTCATGTTGTTTCCATTTCCTGGAAGACCCTCTCTGATCCCTTTGAACTACCTTTCCTTTCAAATCCTTTTTCTTCAGCTTCTTCCTCTGATTGTCTGTGAAGACTGAAGCAGTGAAGGCTGAAGGAACCTGTCACCAGGCCACAGCTTACTCCATCTACACATGTTCTAAAGAGCCTCAATCTTTACAGAATAACTGCCATGTAGAATTGATACTGTGTGATTTTTTAACTTAAAAGCCTGACATTTGAAATTATTTTACTGGCAATCAGGAATTTTGATATGCTTTATTTTCAAATCAGACCAGAGGTGCCTATTATTTAATAAACATGTTATTTGTCTAGTTTCCTTTGATCGTTCAGAACAAAGTAAATTATTCAAAGTAAATTATATCTCAGAAATTTTTTTCAAACTCAAGCTTACTTTCATATTGCCTGTTTCATTATCTAAAATTTAAATCTTGTGCCACTACCTCAATATTGTCACCTATTATACCTACCTCAAAAAATATTCTATTATATATACACACACACACACACACATATATACATATATATATTAATAGCAACTTTTATTCCCATTTTGCTTATGTTTGAATATAATTTGCCATAAACAAATCTTTCGGTTTATTCAATTCACATAAACTCATATTTTTTTCTTTAATAGTCAATTTTTATGTCACATTTAAAGTAAGACAATTCTACAAAGACTAGATGATTTAGAAAGCCTTAAAACTATAAATTTTTTAATGTTGCAGCCTTCATAATTCATGTAATTCCATATGCCACTAGGAAAATCAGTCTTATTAATACACATTGCTGATTGATCACTAATTCTTTCTATAAATTTAAGCAGGGGAAATTGAAAGACATTGTTAGTTAAACCTCCCAGTGACTAGACAGCGTAGGTACCATGTCATGGGGGAGACGGGATGAGGGGGCAGAATCCTTCCTTAAATATCTTTGAATTTTCTAATCTATAGGATTTTTCAGTTGAAAATAATCAATAACATGAAAAGGAATTAAGTCAACCATTCCAACACCTGAGCACAAGAGAAAGGGTCTGAAAGATCTGAAAGCATACAAAGGCTACCAAGAAGAGAAAGAAACACTTGCAAATCTACTGGCATGTTTCTTAATCATAGATATCTTTTTTTGGTATCCATTCTTAAGTATTTACTGAATGTCTACTACTCTCCAGAGTCGCCAACCTTTCAGACCTCACTTACCGCCGGTTAGCGACTGCTGCTCTAGAGTCTAACACTGTGATTGACCCCAACACCAATGTGCTGTCCAAAACCTTGGGGGCGTGTATTCACCTCAACTCTTCTACTTGCATGGAAAAGAGAAAGAGGCATATAGCATTTCTATTGTCAACAATATCTATGCTGTCACTGTCATTAATTTCCCATCTTTTTATTTTATAATTCCCAATGACAGATCACGTTGTTTAATGTAACAGGTGAAATGCTTTTAAGACTTTGCCTAACCTCGATTTGTCAGTATTCTAAAGTCCAATATATTATTTGGGATCCTCGTAATGTCTTATTAACAAATAAGAAAAACAGAAAAATACTTAAGGTAAAACCTTGAACTCTCTAATATCCAAAACAGCATATGCATGTGTGGGAACCAGACCCCACTTTTCTCCTTCAGCTTCAGTCATCATTCCAGTTGATGCAGTGATGAGGACATCCCCTTTGTGAAACCTAGAACCACCCCAATAGACAAAGATTAAAGGAAAAACATTTTAATCTCAGATCACACCATCTTTCCTTTTGTCTAATGGTTCACATGAAAATTTCCACAAATTTAAAATCTTAAAAAAAATAAGCTAATCCCAACATTCCCTGAAGGACTTGAACAAGAATTCCATTTCCATTTCACAGCCTATGAGAAAAATTATCCCATTTCCCACACCACCCAGTTTTAGACTGCTTAATTCTCAGGTAGAAAGCTATCAATGAAGGAAAGAAACAAATGCTAACTTTTCAAATGATTTACAAATAAAAATGAAGACATGAAATGCCAAATGCACTTCCTCCAAAGTAATATTCATTATCAGATTACTGAGTTTTAGTTTCACTAATGAATGTGTAGTATTTATAGATAATTTTCCAGTCCCTATGTTACCAATGTTTTTTGAAGTAAAGGGAGCTATATCTATCAGCTGCCCTAGATTCTATGAAATGAACTAAAAAGCAACAGCCACTTCTTCCCCTATATGTCATTTAAGGCTTAAGTCATCTTCCTCTTTATGTTCTCAGACTTCTCTTTTCCCATCTTCCTTCAAATTGGTTAAGTACTAAGAAAATTTTCCCATGTTAGATATTCCAAGTTCAAATATTTTAGATTATCTATAACCTGGGCTAACTGTCTATCCATCAGTGAGGATAACTGAGGGCTGGTTGTAGCAAGTATGTAAATGGAGTCATTTAAAAACACAATTTCCCTAATAATGGAAAATGGCAGTCTCTGTAATATCTATTCTAAATAAGGTATGAAATTTCAAATTTCAATACAACCTCTTTTAATAGGAAAAGAGAGAGAGAGAGAGAGAGAGAGAGAGAGAGAGAGAGAGAGAGAGAGGAAAATGTTTACCTTTGATAAAGCATTCGGAAAGAATTATCCTTACTGAAAGTCTGGCTATCTGAATGCATAGCAATCCTTTCTGGTATCCACCCAGTCAGTGCATGAAGATCAATATTCTGCAACATTAAATACATTAAACACATTTCAGATCTGTCAACCTTTTTTTCAAGCTCTAAATACATCCCCAGGGTAGTTGTTAAATCTCACTAATTTGATAAAATGATTTTGACAGGAATAAACCAGAAGTTAGTTTTTTTCTATCAGTAATAAACTTAACTCATATTCCTACCTGGATTTAAGCACAAGCTTACCATCTTTTTCCTAAAATCTTTATTGCTTTCCCTGAATAAGTATGAAAACCCAAAACACATAACAGAAAAAAACTGCTTTAATAATAATAATGATAGTCAATTACCATTTATTGACTTTTTTAATGTTACTTTTCAAATGCTTGGAGTCATTTACGTTAATAGGGGCTGCGATTTATCCAGTTGAAAAATGTTTTATATATTCTCATTCTCTAAGATGCATTGGGTAGGTTAATGGCAATGAATTAGATAAAATAAGAATATTTGAAGGATAGGGCAATTGAGCGGGTAGGTGGGGAAAATTTTTAATATCTTATTGCATTTACCTGTGACCTATGCATTCTTTGACTAGCTTTATAAGCACCAGAAGAATGAAGGAGGCTGGGTACTAAGGAAACAAAATTATCCAGATACCATGATGAGTTATATGCACGTATTTTATCATTTAATCTTTACAACTCTGAGACTTGGGCGTTATTCTAGTAGAAAAGAGGCTAAGAAAGATTAAATACATTTTCTAAGCCTATGAAAATCGTGCTAATCTAATTTCTGGGTGTAAACCCAGTATTTTACTTCATACAACCTAAGGACATTGGTACATATCTTAATTTTACAGGTTAAGATTGGGAAAAATTAACAAAAAGCCCTTGAATCTGAGTTTACAAATCACAAAAATATATAGAACTATGACAATATGACACATTCTTTTGATGCGAAGAGGCTTTTTGAAAATGTACACTGTATTTAATTGCTCCTAGATTCCAACATAATAGCAGACACCTACATTATAGGCTTTCCTGAATACTGAATCTATTCAGCAGTCCCTTGAATAATATTTTATTATACTGTTGAAGAGATGCCATAGGAACTTAAGTCTCATTTATATAAATTAGACTACAGGCCAGGCATTTCTTGGGTTACGTCAGATTCAAAGTACGTCGTTTTGTGGTTACATCACCATCTCCCATTTATTTATAAAAAAAAAGTTCTGTTATTTTGACATATGTATATATGTGCTTTATGTTTTTTATTATTTATTTACCACAAGTAAAGGTCAGGAATTGTTATCTTTCTTTTAAATATTTTTTACTGTTTCACTTTATTACTGCTGTGTATGTGCTCCATGTAGGTGGGTTCCGACTTTTGGTGAAAACCTTACGTGGCGCCATAGAAATGGATCTCCAATGTAACCCGAGGATCTACTGTATAATAACATTGGTATTATTATATGTAATTTTGTTTAAAGATGCAGAACTTATGGAAGACATTAAGTGAGGACTTAGTGTACAACGTGTTAACCTTATAAAAGAAAACAGATACTTCCATAATAAACATGATGCAGAGGTTATCTGTTTTCGCATCCTTTAAACTAAATAGCATCTATAATCATTAAAATTTAAAATAGTCATATTAGATAATGTAAGTCTGTATTTGGATCATTCTATTACTTACTGAGTTGGATCCTGGGAAATCATATCCTCCCATAACTTTCATATATGCTTTTTCAATGAGAGAAACCCATAATTCACTTTTGTTGTTAGAATAAGAACAGAGCAATTCTCCCTTATGATCAACAGGTAATTGGTCATCAATTATCACCTGGGGAAAGAGAACAGTACTTAGTTGGTATAAAATACCTTAAAATCCTTTTTATTAAAAAAAGCATCTTTCATACTGATAAATAGCATGGTATACCTATTAAGGTAATGACAGTTTCCTATTTCTAGAATCTAATCAATTTAAAAATGTTATATGATGTTTTAATTCAAGTTCACACTAATCTCCCTGTGAGATAATAACCTTTAGCTAATCACATGCTAAATACTATGAATCTACCATCAAAATTATTAGGGATTCTAGAAATGTAGTGTATCTAAAATAATTATTTTTTGGAACTTTCTATAAATTTTCCCAAAACCATTACAAAAAAAATTTATTCTTGTCATGATTTCTATTAAAAAAAAAAATCATTAACATTTGTTACTGATAGCAGTATGTATTATATATCACAGATTCAAAATCAATGAAATGTTAAAATGCTTACAAGTTTTTAAAATGTTTATATAAGTAATATTTCTTAATGATCCTATTCAATATTTAAAGGCAGGGAAGGGGGAGGGGAAGAGGGAAGGGGCGAGAGAGGAGGGGCGGGAAGAGGAAGGAGAGCAGAGGAGAGGGAGAGGAGAAAAGAGAGATTGGGGTGGACGAAGATATTATTCACCTTTCTTGGGACACCATTGAGGTGAAGTTTTACCATATACTTTCCGCATGGATTGTACTCTGGCTCACCATCCTTATTCTGAGGGTAAATTATGCTTTTGTAAAGAAAATAAATATTGAAATACCAACATTAATATTCAACATAACTACTAATGCAAAATATTATAGATATGTGCTATTGTTTTGGCAATTTGATAAAAATAAACTTGAGAATAGTTTTCTATAGTAGGCCTAGAAAAAAATTTCACCCTAATCAAAGTGCTTTTTTAAATGTAAACAAATGAATAAAGTATATTATGAGATCAAATAGCAGGGCATAAATTTCATAATATTCATGAAAATGCTCAGTGTTAAATTATATACTCAAATAAATTTTCTATTAAATGGACATATTTTAACCCAAATAAAATAATCTACTATTGACCCCAACAAGTAACGAAGAGCATTTCAATTAATCACAACTAAGGCAACAAACAACAACTCTGACAGAGATAAAATTATAACAACACTGATAAAAGTTACACAAAATTATCCAGTAAGATACTAGTAAAAACAATCAGTATCAATTTTCTTTCACACATTATTTACATGTATGATATTTACCCAAGATGGCAAATAGCTTGAAACTAAGGTCTGTGTCTAATTTACCTTTATACTTTCAGGATTTAACACACAAAAACCACTCATGAAAAGTTGTATTAAAAATTTATGAAGCTTAATTTTTATAATAAATAATTTTAAGCTAATAAAACTTTAAAAAATAAAAACCTCCCACACAATTTCAGTAACATTTCTATACATTCTAAAGCAGTTACAGTCAAAAGAAATGTTATTTCATATTACATATATTTTATATTAAATGTTAGAGTAATTTTAATTAACCCAACATCAACAAAGTATTTTACAATATAAAAATTTGAAATATTTTGCCTATTTTATATGTTTTTGTGTGCTAAGTTTTCAAAATCTGATGCATTTTACTGTACATTCACAGCCTATCTTAATTCAGACTAGCCATTTTAAGCATTCAACATCCACATGTGAATAGTGGCTATTATACAGTACAGTCCTATAAAATAAAAGCCTAACATGCTAAGTGTCCAGTCATCCATTGAACCAATCAAAGTCTAATCTATATATATAAAAGCCTAAGTGACCGAACGACCAAATGACCAGTTGCTATGACACGCACTGACAAGGGGGCAGACACTCAACTCAGGAGCTGCCCCCTGGTGGTCAGTGTGCTCCCACAGTGGGAGTGCTGCTCAGCTGACAGATGGGCACCAGAGGCAGGGCTCAGGGCTAGTTAATGCCTCTGGGCTGTGTGAGCCTCTCTCAATTGGGACTTACTGGGCATGAGCCCACGGCAGGCACAGTGGGGCCAGGATGAGCAGGAGTAGCAGGCAGCATTGGACTGCTGGTTTCGGCCCGATTCCCACAGGCCATGCTGAGGGACCCCACTGGTCCATGAACCCATGCACCAGGCCTCTAGTATGCGAATGATATGCTAGGGTTGCTCAATCGCTTGCTATGATGTGCATTGACCACTAGGGGACAGATGCTCCAACTGGTAGGTTAGCTTGCTGCTGGGGTCTGGCTGATTGGGACTGAGCAAGATGAGATGGGCCGGACACTCCCGGGGGGCCCTCCCTCCCGCTTCCCTCCCTGGCCCCAATCCTGCACCAGTGGAGTCCCTCAGTCTGGCCTGTGCCCTCTCGCAATCTGGGCTGAGGGATCGAGATTGTGAGTGAAATTATAAACATGACTTAATTTTACTTTGACCAATTTCATTTATTTCAATACATACTTATTCTTCACACATTAACTACATGCACATATATTCTTACTCTGTTTTAGCATATCTGTTCACATTCACAAATCATCTGCTTAATACATAAGGGCCATAATATTCTGAGTGATACACTCTCTTTACTTTCTAAGCCAAAAAGGTCTACATTTTAAATTTCTATTTAAGACATTTATATGAAAAGGGCTAAAGAAACAAATATAAATTTTTACCTGGTAATCAACTTCTTATTAAATCGTCTTTCGTAAGCTGCACTAATAGCCAGTGATGCGACAAAGGAACAATCTGATACTATTGTCTGTTAATAAGAATTTATCAGTATATTTCATTAATGTATCAACATTTCCACAATATTTAAGCATTGCACCTAGCACCTGACTTTTATACTAAATATCTCGACTACTGCTTGAGTAAGAAATAAATAGAAATGTCATACTGTCAACTCAAATTTTGCTCAAATAAATCCTTGAAAAACCAAATAAACTATTTCAATGAATTTAGAATAATTAAATATGGATGCATTCCTTGCATTAATAAAGGCATACCCATTGATTTTCCTTCTACAATGTTACTTTATTTTTAAATTGTATGGGGGTGACACTGATTAATAAAATTATGTAAATTTCAGGGGTACAATTCTATAATACATTACCTGTATACTGTATTGTGTGTTCAATACCCCAACCCAAATCTCCCTCCATCACCATTTATACCCCCTTTACTTTCTCCAACTTTCCCCATTCCCCTTTCCCTCTGGTAATCACCATACTGTTGTCTATGTCTGTTGTGGTTTTTTTTTTTTGTGTGTGTGTGTGTGTGTGTGTGTGTGTGTGTGTGTTTTCTTAACCCCTTTACCATTTTTATCTAGTGGATGACACTTTTAATGATAAAAAAGTAAAGGCATTTAAAAAGTTGGTTTATGACCTATAAAGATGAATTCTATATAATAAAAGGCTAATATGTAAATTGTTCCCTTAGGAATTTGGACTATTTGCTATGACATGTGCTGACCACCAGAGGGCAGCGCAGAACGAAGGAAGGCAGCCAGAAGGCCCTGATTGGCAGCCAGGCCTAGGGACCCTACCTATGCATTAATTTCATGCACCAGGCCTCTAGTATGTATATAAAAGATTGAATCATAGTATTTCAGAATCACTATTTTATACTAATGTGGAAGATACCTATGATTTCATTATAAAACTTAAAGTTTGCAATAAAGTCATATTGTTGTTTCAACATTGAAGTGTTTTAAATAAGCCCCATTTCTATCTTTTCTATTTTCTTATCGATGGTGAATTTCATATTCTCAACTTTCTCATCTGCAAGCATGTGTCCACAAATAGGGTCTATATAAAACCCTGTGTCTGCTCAAAATAGTTATTCATACTTTTATTATCTCAGTATGTCTAAAAGTGTGCAGAATAATTTTTCCAAATATACTCATGCATCTGAATAGATAATAAAAACTTAAAAAAAGTCAAATCTATATCCAAATTACTTTAAATTGCTAGCATTCATTTAGAAATATACTCTATATATATATATATATATATATATATATATATATATACACACACACACACACACACACACACACACATACACACATACCTGTTTTATGCTGAAACTGGACACAGTGTAAATCATTGTAGGATTGTTGCTGAGGTCTTCTGGGCGTACCCATTTGGAAAACATAGCTTTTTGTTTAGGTGATAATGGTAGCTTGCCCAATCTATCACTGAGGTAATTATGAAAATTAAAAAATAATAAAATTAATCTTAAACAATGATTCAAAACCAAAATTAAAATTTTCTGATTTTTTTTTGTCTAGTGATCCTAGCTATATTTAGGTCATCCTAAAATAATTCTCTGGTTAAATCTGGCTCTATACACTAATCATGAATCCAATCAATCTGATCATGTGCCCCTATTAAAACAAAACAACAAAACACAGATAACTGCAAACGAAGAGCAACTTAAATGCATTTATGCTTACTTTAAAGATATGGTTATTCAAGAAATTAAGTTTTTTTTAAAATATATTTTATTGATTTTATACAGAGAGGAAGAGAGAGAGAGAGAGAGAAACATCGATGAGAGAGAAACATCAATGAGAGAGAATCATCGATCAGCTGCCTCTTGCACACCCCACACCCCCTACTGGGGATGTGCCGGCAACCAAGGTACATGCCCTTGACCGGAATCGAACCCGGGACCTTCCAGTCCCCAAGCCGACGCTCTATCCACTGAGCCAAACCAGTTTCGGCAAGAAATTAAGTTTTGATAAAATAAAGCCACTAATAATATAATCTGATTCATTCAAAATTACCTATGAAGCTACAGATCTTTTGGCTCTTGACAAACTCTTTTCTGTAAGGCTAACAATGAGAGTATCTAATTACTGAATAATAACTATATACCAGACATTATGCTAAAATATTCTACATACATTACTCATTGAATCCTCTAAACAATTTAACCTATAAATAAAAACTAAACACTTTGATGTCTAATCTTTACATAATTTTCTATATATCTATAAACATATGAAAAAAATTGAATGCTGTTTATATACTTTTCTATCTTTTTCTTAGATTGCAAGCATTTTTTCTATATTTTTCAAGGACTTATTTTTTTATGGGAACCCTAATACTTAATATACTTAATATAAAATGAATGTACCATTATTTAATCACTCCTATATTGTTAAATATTTGTTTCAGTAACTTTTTGCTATGAGATGCTTTGATGAATGCTCTTATCCTAGTAATATGTAAATTGACCACCACTCCAACACACAAGATGGCAGCCCTTATGTGGACTCAAGATGGCTGCGACAAGATGGCCAGCAGGGGAGGACAGTTGGGAGGGACCAGGCCTGAAAGAAGGGCAATTGTGGGCGATCAGGCCAGCAGGGGAGGGCAGTTGGGAGGGACCAGGCCTATAAGGGAGGGCAGTTGGGGGCGATGAAGCCTGCAGAGGAGGGCAGTTAGGGGTGACCAGGCTTGCAAGGGAGGGCAGTAAGGGGTGACCAGGCCTGCAGGGGAAGGCAGTTAGGGGCAAACAGGTTGGCAGGGAGCAGTTAAGCATCAATCAAGTTGGCAGGAGAGTGACAGGCAGAAGGGGTTAGGGGCAAGCATGAAGGCAGACTGACAGGCAGAAGGGGTTAGGGGCAAGCACGAAGGCAGGCAGGCGAGCAGTTGGGAGCCAGCAGTTCTGGATTGGGAGCAGTAGGATCGGGCCTAAACGGGCAGTCAGACATCTCTCAAGGGGTCCCATATAGGAGAGAGTGCAAGCTGGGCTGAGGGACAACCTCCCCACCCCATGCACAAATTCTGTGCACCTGGCCTCTAGTATAAACATCTTTAATGAAATTATTTCCTTAGGATGACCAGAAGCTGGGAGTCTTGAACCAAACAATTATTTTTAAGGCTCTTGACATACGCTGCCACTGTCCTAGATGCTAACACTTACATAATTAACTCTTTTTTAAATTATATCTTCTTAGTAAACAACATTATCATTCTATTCCACTTTTCCATTCAGTTCTTTTAGACTTGCATTTTTGTTGTGATCAAACAACAATTGAACAAATATTTCCCGAGTAAGTACTTTGTGCCAGGAACTGTGTTTGGCACTGAGTATGTTATGCAAAAGGAGACAAAATAGTAACAGAGGTACTGCTGCACTGCCTTAACTCCTCCCCATAACCACACTTCCCTTCCAATCAAATTTTTAAACTACAAATTTAAATTTAAAACTATAAATGTAATTAGACTTCAGAATATGAAACAAGTACTAAAAAGTAAAAGATTGGAAGTCAAAATTGCAATAGTGCTTACTTACCAGAAAGGCATTGGATAGGCAAAACGTTCTCTCAGGTCAATAGCCATGAAAGGAACATATTCTACACCATTTATTTTTGATGTTGTCCTAAAAAATAAAACAAAAATCTAAAGCAAATGTTCAAATTATCAAATTTACTTCAACTCTTTAAAATGACAAGATATGGTACTATAATAAAATTAAACCAACAATCTCATGTTGGACAAAACCAATATCTTTATTTAGACAGATTTTTTACAAAATTGTTGAATACCAGAAAATAACTGATTTAATTCAATTCAGTAGAGTTACAATAAAAGGACAGTCTCAATACAGGCCCAACCAGAAGTATTCAAAGTGTGACATCAGGGACAAAGTGAATTCTATACAAGTCCAAAGGGAGAAAACAATTGCTTAGTTATTTAGAGATTTAAAAAACATGACATTTATAATTATGAAGCTATGTTCTTCATACTTTCTGGGTATGAGAATATGGAGTGGATAAATGTCATAGATAAGAGCTATGGCCTCTTGAAAAGTTAAATGTGTTTTGTAGTAGCTTTGCATATTTTCTTGTTTTGTGTGTATTTATTTGTATACTAGTATATTTACTATTTCCTTCTTCTGTTTCTTTCCCGCATTTTATTTAGAAGTAATTGCAGGGTAACTTCATCACTTAGTCCCCAATATTTGGGGAGACTGTGACTGAATTTGAGGAACAATTAATACAGTAAGCGATGGATATTATGACTGTGTATATACTTTTTCTAAGAAGATGAGAACTTTTCACTTGCATAAAGGATAGTTGCATTTGTTAGAAATATAGAGTTGTTTTGTTGTACTATGGAACGTCAAATGTGTACAGAAGAGAACTTTTGGATGCTGAGTAGCCCAAGTGTCGGACTGTTACTAATCTACCATCTCTCAATTCCAAACCACCCTTATTCATTATGCTCTGTGCTGTTTCATTTTACATGCCATTTGCCAGGCAAAGAGAGCCAGGTTAATAGGAGAATTAAAATCCATAGCAAGAAAAGGAAGAAAATACCCCTCAGGTGGCTGCTACATAAAGAACCCTTTAGGCTCAATTTTAGGAAATTAAAAATGAGCAACTACATGATTTGTACTACTCTAAGTAGGTTAGATTTCTTTCAGAGCCCAACTGAAGAACTGCCACACTGGCTCAGAGATTTATCCCATCTGGGCGGGCTCAGAATGCAACCAAGGAGTTCCACATCACTGTTTTGCATTTTTAACACCCATGAGTTCTTTCACACACTGAGATGGCTTCCTAGTCCAGGGGTTGATAAACATTTTCTTTAAAGGACCAAATAGAATATAGTTTTGGCTTTGCAATGAGGTCTGTCATATGTTGTTCTGTGTTCTTCTTTTCTTTTTTAGAACTCTTTAAAGAAATGCAAAAACCATTTATAGCTCAAGGCTTCCCTTTGCTGACTCCTGGCCTAGACTGCTATTTCAAGGTTAACAACTTATTCTCCCATTAGGGATCTGGTTACAAAGTTGCACAGATGATTGGCTGATCTGCCACAGATCTATTTTGCTCCCTAACCACTAGTGTTCAATTTTGAAGAATACTAGGATTTTCAGGAAAACATACCTGGTAGAAATGCTTAATATTAGAATATTTTAGAAAAATTATAAGTATTTAAAGTTGTGACCACACGACAATGTAATATCTAATTAATAACATTATACACTATAAGATGTGAATATGACTCAACAAACCTAGTGAGAATGAAACTATGTTGATTATGTTAACAAAATTGTTCTTTACAATGAATCAAAAGCTAATTTACCTGAGAACTTCTATTTCTTCTGCCGTATATCTCTGTCCTTGTGCATCGCATGCCTGTGGACTTATAAATTGCTGAGGTCTTTCAAGAAAGGGATTAGTTCCTAGTGGAAAATGTGCTCTTGTTGGAGGTGGCTTTGGTTTAATGTTGGTTGACTTGATTTTGCATAATGGCTTTGTTAAAGGCTCACTCAATGCTTCTGCTCTATAATAGAGGTACAGAAACACTGTTTAGCTTTTTTCACATTTAAGCTTTCCAGAAAATAAACTTTACTTCAAGAACCAGTGAAGCATTCCTAATATAAACCTAGTAAATAAAATTCTTACAAACTAATCAACTGTTCACTAATTAAGCTACTCCCAAAGGTATTTTTGCAAACAATATTCTATTAATATTAAGTGAGCATTTATATCAGATACTATGCAAGGGGGATACAAGAATGTATAAAATACAATCCCTGCTCTTGAGGTATTCATAGTTTTGTGGGGAAAGAAAGAAAACTACATCAAAAGTGACAGATGTTAACGTGAAATATTACTTTTGAGTAAATGCATAACAGTAGTAACTTAATGAACTGGGAAGAGAGGATGAATCAGGGAATGTTTTTTTCTGAATTGATGTTTGAGCTGCAGAATCCACCCGGGGAGTGAGGGAGTATTTGGAGTAGAGAGAATAGCATATGTAAATGTGTGGGAGTATGAAACAGCATAGTTAGTTAAGGTAATTTCAAAAGATGCAACCCCTGTAAATAGTGCAAATGAGAAGCAGTGGGAGATGAAACTACTGGCAGGGACTGGATTTCAGGCCTCACGTGATATTCAAGGAAATCTGACTTTGTCAAAGAACTAACAAGCTAAAAAACCATAAGTTCTTAATCTGAGGTCCATATATAGTTTCAGGAGTCTTATGAAAACTATGAAATTCATGCCAAAAAATTTATGTACATTTTTCTTAGAGAATGGATCCAATCCATAATTTTGAACAGTTCCTGAAAGAAGCCCAGGTCTGACCTAACCCAGTGCACTTAGTTAGGAAACACTTAGAGAATATTGGATGGGTTAGCCACATCCTATCTAATAAAATAATAATATGCAATTTAACCATTACTCCACTATACCCACAAGCCAATCAGGAGCAAGCATGCAAATTAATCCAACCAAGATGGCTGCAGCCACAGAGAGAGCAGGAAGGAGACTTGGGTTTCCCCAGTGATGGAGGAAGCCAAGCCTTCCACACACACCCTGGCCAGCCCAGGCCTCCACTTAAGGCTACAAAGTTTTAATTACAGAAGATAAATAAATCCCAACAAAAATGGCTGTCGCCACAGAGCGAACAGAAGGCTTGGCTCCGCCCCAGGCTACAACATTTCAATTGTAGAAGATAAATCCCAGATACCAGGCCCTCCACTTGGGTTGCCACCTGCGCACACGCGCAGGTGAACAGCCTGAAAACCACCACAGGCCCTTAGCCCAGGCTGCCCTATGCCCCAAGGGAACCCCCATCCTGATCTGGGACACCATTCAGGGCAAACTAGCTGGTCCCCAGCCATGCACCAGGCCTCTATCCTATCTATAATAAAAGAGTAATATGCAGATTGACCATCACTCCAACACACAAGATGGCTGCCCCCATGTGGTCAGAGATCCTGCCTCCAGGTGGACACAAGATGGCCAGCAGGGGAGGGTAGTTGGGAGGGACCAGGCCAGCAAGGGAGGGCAGTTGTGGGCGATCAGGGCAGCAGGGGAGGGCAGTTGGGAGGGACCAGGCTTGCAAGGGAGGGCAGTTGGGGGCAATCAAGCCTGCAGGGGAGAGCAGTTAGGGGTGACCAGGCCAGCAGAGGAGGGAAGTTGGGGGCAAACAGGCTGGAAGGGGAGCAGTTAGACATTAATCAGGCTGGTAGGGGAGTGGTTAGGGGGTGACCAAGCTGGCAAGCAGAAGGGGTTAGGGGCAATCAGGAAGGCAGGCAGGCAAGTAGGTGGAAGCCAGCAGTTCTGGATTGTAAGAAGGATGTCTGACTGCCCGGGCAGTTGGACATCCCTTGAAGGGTGCCATATTGGAGAGGGTGTGGGCTGGGCTGAGGGACACCTCCTGCCCATGCACGGATTTCATGTACTGGGCTTCAAGTAGGTAATAAAAGTCATCGATGATTCAGACTGCTGAAAGAAGTCAAAATGGAGAAGATAACTATGTGTTAAGTGTCCATATCTTCAAGAATTTGAAAAACAAAACTAAAGGCTAGATGATGATAAAAAAAATGGAGGGAAGACTATTATACTTTGATTAAAAAAAGGACTGGAGTGGTACAGCTAGCTAGTCAGAGCCTCAAAAGGTAATTTTATGAAATATAATTATAAAAGCAATTTCCACCCTTTGTCTATAGTACTCTTCAAGAGGTAGAATTCTATTGTGCAAATCCATTTATTCTTTCAACAAATGCCTACTGAGCACATACTACAAGTCCAACACTCTGCTATATACTCAGAGCACTAAACAAAGACAGACAAAATTCTCTGTACTCACAGAGCTTGCATTGAAGTGATGGAAGGGACATAGACATAACATGACAAACTGGCACATTTCATGCCTCAGAAAGTGTTAAGGAAAAGAATATTAGAATAGAGTATGCAGGATAAAAGTATTGAAGGAAATTCATTTTTATATTGGTTAGGGCAGGCCTTATTGAAAAGCTGACATTTGAGCGGAGTTGAAGGAAGTTCTGCATTATATAATTTAGGGTATGTGTATGGCTGTAAGCTGGCTCATTCTCAATTTCTTCATTTTTATTATTAGCTCTGGAAGGCTCTCTGGAAGTTCTCTTTGGAAGTCTGATATTACACAATAGAAGGGAAGTCTTCTATTTCAAATACCATGATCATTTTTGTTTTATACATAGAAAAAGCTAAAGAAAACATCTCTTGATTAATGTTATTTTTAAAAATTAAAGCAGGAAACTAGGTAAGTAAATGCACTCAAAAGAAAAAAAAGTAGGCTTCCTCTACATCTCAGGTAAAAGATGGAGATTTGTTATTATCAGCTCTAACACATTTAGATAAAAGTGACACAATACACTGCCACCCATGGATAAGAACTTAAGTGACCAAAACTCACCTATCTAGTGCCTGTCGAGCCAACTGTTTCAGTTTATTTTGCAGAGTTTTATCAGCAGTTTCATAGGACTTAAGAGAAAGAGAGATAGACATTCTGAAGCATAATTATTTTTTAATTTTCTTGATCCATGACATTTCTAAGCAAAAAAATTGACCATGTACATTACACTTCTTGAAATTATGAGAGAAATAAACCAAGACATTTTATTTTCATTCTTGAAGGTATTATTTCAAATAGTGTTGAAAACTTGTCACTGAGGTAAGCTTTAAGGCCACTTGATGTGGACAGGTGGTAACTGGAACACAACTGTGCGACCTGGTACCATGGAAGGCAGGAACCTTAAGAGACCCGCGCTTACCTCCAGTCTCCAGTACCACACAGTGATCAGGCTAGATGGTTCTCCTGAGCAAAACACCCTAGACAAAAAGCCAGTGCTCTGAATAATACTGAGACCACTCTCTACCACTTCCCCTCATCTTCCTGTCAAATCAGTGCTCTTAAGCACTAGATGCCCTTTAAAGCTCACGTCCCACCCAGGACTCCTCAGAGAAGTGAAAGCAACTCATCATATGGATTTCACATTGCAAATTAATAAAGCACTTCCAAACCATTACCTTCATTTTTAGTGTATGATATTGGGGGGGAAAAAGGGAGAGGGGAGTTTATTCTAAATTTGTGATGGTGAATTCTTCCTGTAATAATTTAGTTATATGTAGAGAGGTTAAAAAACTACCTGTAATTTAGAAAAAAAATCCTTAATGACTCAATCTTAATGCTGTCAAAATTTTAAACAAGATGTTAAAATCCACTATTCATTTTTTACTCTCCATCTTTTAATGAGTAATTTAGTGACATTCATGACACTTTTTTTTTTTTAAAGGAATTGTTAAATAAAATTCACTAGTAAAGGGAGAAATTTCTTAGCATAATTCAACCAAATTTAAGTTGTAGCTATACATACAGTTTTTAGACAGAGATCTACGGCTTCTGTATACAATTCTATAGCATCTTCAACATTCCCCTTTTCATCTTCGTCAAAAGCTTGTGTAACAAGGAAATGGGCACGCTCCAAGTCCAACTGATGTTTTGATTTCAAAGGATCAGCACTCTTTGACTGGACTAGGATAGGAAAAAAGCCACATAGGAGAAGTATTACCTATATATCTATCTGGGAAATGATATACCATTTTAATACATTTAAGACATTCTTTACCAAAACTCTATAATCCTTCATTAAAAGGGAGAGACAGAGAAAACCATCTTTATGAGACATATTGACTAGTTGCCTCTCACATGAGCCTGACCAGGGCAGGGCATTAAGCCTGCAACTGAGGTATGTGCTCTTGACCAGAATTGAACCCAGGACCCTTCAGTCCATGGGCTGATGCTCTATCCACTGAGCCAAACTGGCTATGGTTGGTGATCTTTCTTACTTTAACTCTCAGTAACACCTCTCTGAATAATGTACATCCCATTCATAAAATGAAGATACCAAACCTCAAAAAATGTTAAAATATCTAGTTCAGGGTTTCTCAGTCTTGGCACTACCGACATTCTCGATGGGTAATTATTTGATGTGGACTGTCCTGTGCATTTCATGCACCACGAAACTAGATGACAGAAGTATACTTCCCACCTCCTCTAGAGTAAAAACTAAATTTCTCTTCAGGCTGTTACCTCTTCCCACCCAAAAGACAACTCATCTCTCAAAGGTCTCTTCACGGCCAGCACATTTTATGTTTTAAAAATTGGGTGTCAGAACAAGATTATTATTTGATGATTCTCCTGTTTAAAATAATTAAGGAAACCATTTAATGCTCTACAGATTTCATATATATGTATATATTTATTGATTTCAGAGAGGAAAAAAAGAGGGAGAGGGAGTCAAAAACATCAATGATAAGAGAGAATTGATGCCTCCTGCAGGCCCTTTACTGGGGATGGAGACTGCAACCAGAGCATCTGCCCTGAACTGGAATGGAACCATGATCTCCTGGTTCTTAGATTGATGCTCAACCACTGCGCCATACTGGCCGGGCTTTCTACTGATTTTTTTTTAAAGAGAATGGAAGGAAGAGTGTAAAGTAGGGAGGGGGTAAGAGAGAGAGAGAGACATTGATTAGTTGCCTCTCAAAATCACCACGACCAGGGCCGGGCATCAAACCTGCAACTGAGGTATGTGCCCTTGATCAGGAATTGAACCTGAGACCCTTCAATGTGTGGGCCTCATGTTCTACCAGCCACACTGACGAGGCTAAATCAATTTGTCTTTAAAGGGACTGTCATAATAACAATCCAATCATCAAATCTATTTTATCTCAACTATGTGCTTATAACTTCTGCTCCTATCTATTCTGAATTAGTGGAATGCAGCAAGGAAATTTATCAAATTTAATATGTAAAGATTCCTCTAAACTAGTGATATTAACTTGTTCAACTGATGTGCTGCAAGAATTTTTAAAACATGCAATACCTGACTATTTAGATACTTCTTTTTCATTAGGTTGTCAAACTAAAAAATAATGAGTCAGCACAATAGCTATCCGATGTGAAATAAAATTACACTTATTTCTTTGGTCAGATTGGCAAAAATAATATATTTTTTGGTGTGCCACTAAATTTTAGTAATAGTTTATGTGTGCTAGGAGATAAAAAAAATAAATAAATAAATTGCTGCTTGTGGCTTTATTATAGGGCCACAGGAAAAAGGGTTAGAGTCCTTAGTGAGATGAATGCATTTCTAAAACAAAATGTCAACAGGTGATTATTTTCTTTTCTACCCTTGTGAACAGATTTTGACAGAAACCGTGATCTCTAACAAAACTGTGATCATTAAGGCTGTGTGTACTTGCTTCAAAGAATTTTCCACATTGTTTATGAGCATAAATACAATCTGTTTCAGGTCTCTGCCTACATGTTGCTTTTCTAAGACATGGTTTAAGAGAATTTAGCTAAGGTCTTGAGGTTGAGGATACTAATACAGAAGTGACTGTGAACCCATGCTGAAGTCTTTAAACATTGAAGAGGAGCTCTGGTTTGGCTCAGTGGAAAGAGCATTGGACTGTGGACTGAAGGGTCCTGGGTTCGATTCCTAGTCAACAGCACATGCCTGAGTTGTGGGCTCGATCCCCAGTAAGGGGGAGTACAGGAGGCAGCCAATCAATGATTCTATCTCATCATTGATGTTTCTATCCCTCCCTCTCCCTTCCTCTCTGAAATCAATAAAAAAATATTTTTAAACACTTAAGAGGAATAGTCATTTAAACTTAATACAAGGAGAGGGCATGTGACAGATATTTAAAAAGCACACTTTAACAGGGTCCTAATCCTGATTTTGCTAATGATACAGTCAGAATGTAAATAATTTGTCATCTCTAAACCTCTGGGAAATTGGGGAGATTGAACTGCATTATCTCTGAGGTTCTCCTTCCCAGATCTATAATTCATTTACATATTATGACTTTTAAAGATGTGATTACCAAAAAAGGAATTAACAGGAGACTTAGGATCAAGATCCAAAGATAAAAAATGAAAGAGAAAAATAGAAGGAAAAGTAAGATGTGATGGAAGAGAAGAAAAAAAAAAATACATCGACAAGTTTAGTAGTCTTTACTAACCTGCAGAATGTAAAGCCTGAACTCTTTCCAGATATTCACTTATTTTTTCTTGAATATGTTCTAGGCTTGATCCTGCCATCTCGGCATAAATTAAGGCTTGTGCAGCTTCCTAAAAATAAGAATGCAAAGGAATATAATATGTAAATTACAATTTGAATTTTCTTTACCACTTTTTAACTCACTATTGGTTTCTATGAATGACAAATATAGATTGTCCTTAAGATCATAATAATTTTATTTATAAAGCAAGTGAATTATATAATACTCCAATACCCTTTCTTCAGTTCCTAATGCTCTTAATTTTCTCACACTGTTGACAATTTATCAACTCAAATAGGAGAGATTGATTATAAACATTTTCTTAGAATAGCTGTGGTTTATATGTTTTCTTTTTGCAATAGGTCAGACTTAAAATTATATACCTTAAACTGGTGAACTGACCTTTAAAGGCATTAGAACAGATAACAATAACCAATGAAATAAGGTAAAACTAAATGTCAAGAAAAGATTACAAGAAATTATAAAGCTTAAATATCTCACAGTGGGAAGAAAATCTTTCTCCACAGAAAATACTGCCAAATGGTGTTCCAGTTTAAAGCAGGCTTCAGCGGTATGAAATCAACTTATTTGAATTAAGAAACTCTGGATTCACCTTCCAGCTCTTCATTCCCTAACATCCACAGCCAATTATGCTGTGACTAATGAGGGAGAGCTGCCATTCTTCCCATCACCACTTCAGGATGGTTACCAATGCTACCACTTAAAAGGACCAGAGAGAGATTTCTCCAAACACACCTTCTCTGCAGTAACCTAAACAGGTACACTTAATGAAAGCGCATGGCTAATTGTCTGGATCCAAAGAAGCCATCCAGTGACTATCATTTTTAGAATCCAATTATTGGAGCAGGAGTTGTTTCATTAAACCTACCAAAAGAAAATTATTGATTTTGACCCAAATGGAAATTCAGTCTAAAAGCTGTGTGGGTACAAAAGCTATGATTTCCTCAGATTCTGTAACTCAATTATTTCAGGGGAGAAAAAAATAACTCCACGTGCACCAACATTATCTAAATACATTATAGCTACACTTAACTTCAATAAATTAATGGAATATACATGTGTAAAATATATTTTATCCCTTTAATTATCTTGCATTTAAATACCAATTTTCAAATTGTTTTGCTTAACAAATAAAGCAAATTTTTAAAATTGCTATCAATTTTATTTTACTCATTTCATTTCTATTTGAAAGTGATTAATATTAAGGAATCCCATACAGAACAGTATGAAGAAAGTAAGCACTAAAAATCTGATAAAGTTTATATAAATAGTTCCTAGGCGCACAACCACTCTGACTTTCTCAAAGATAAAAAATTCTTCCCAATGACATGCACATAAATCCTACTGCAAAACAAGAGGCACTGCAAAGTATATCCTTCCACTTTAGAAAAAAAAATATTTTATATGGCAGTATTTTAATCTATGAACATTTACCAGTTGTTTCACAAAACTAAAAGACACAGAATTTCTACTTTTAAAGAAATAACACCTTCATGAAATTGTCCAATTGTAAAAAAAAAAAAAAAAAAGTCCAAACGAAATGATTCTGAACAAAACAAGTCTCCAAATACGAATTATAAAATGAAGGCAATAAAATATTAATCTGAGAAAAGCAAACCACACACTACTGACAGCATATCCGTTCATGAAAAAAAAATTACTACTACTTGTCTGTCATTTCTAAAAAAAAAAGTGACAATATGATAAAGATATTGCTGTCTCCACAAGGAGGAAGAGGGCTGGCTGAGTTGGAGGGGTGTGCTTGCAAATCCTCAAGATTGAAGAGCAGAGGGTGGGCTCTGATTTAATAATTCTGTCCCGAGTAATTTATAAAAAAAAGACACGCGTAAAGAATGAATGACAAGGGTATTAATCGAACAATTACTTATGATGCTAAAAAACCAGAATGATGCTTAAAAAAAACACAACATAATGGAATGCTATGCATCTGTTAAGATATTAAAAAGTTCAAATGAAAACAGGTTATAAATAGTATCAACAGTAAGATCCGTTTGTCTAAAAAAAAAAAGGGGGGGGGATTACACACACATGTGTCGAAACACAAGCACAAAAACATACCATTGAATGCTAGGAGGTAAAAGACATTTTCTTCCTTAAACATGTATTTTCTTTTCTCCAACGAGCATGCATTCTTTTAGGGTGTATTAGAGACCACTTCCCAGGAGCCACAAATGAGACCCAAGTGACAGAATCAGCTGGCTGGCTATAACTACCCACATCTACTAACTACCCACACCTAACTACCCACACCTAACTAACTACTGCGGCCAGAGCAGCTCCAGGTGGGCATGGCCAGTCCGGACTGCAACCGGAGAAGGGGTCACTCCAAAGCTATGAGCAAACTCCCCCTTCGTGGCAGAGGCCCCGGGGGCAGGAGCTTGGGTGCCAGGAGCCCCGGGGGCAGGAGCTTGGGTGCCAGGAGCCCCGGGGGCAGGTGCTTGGGTGCCAGCAGCCCCGGGGGCAGGAGCCCGGGTGAGCACGGGGGTGCTGGTGCCCCAGAAGGTAGCAGGAAGAGAAAGAGGGTCCAGAGCAGAGGCCAGATGGCCCGGTCGCCTCGGCGCCTGGACCCGCCCCTCGGCCTCTCGGACGGACTCCGCGATGCCCAGCTCACCTTGTAGTAAAACACCGCCTCCGAGTAGCGCCCTTCGTGGTCGCGCTGCACCGCCAGCCGCGCGAACTGCACGGCGTCCCGCTCCAGCGCCGACGAGTCCATGGCGCCGAGGCCCCGCACCTGGCGGGGGCAGCGAGGCCCTGGCGCAGAGGCGCTTCACCGATCGTGGCGCACCAGGGAGCCGGCGCCCAGGCCTTCGGGGCGCCGCGGAAGGACCCACGAAGTTTGCTCTCGGCAGCCGCGGAAAGAGAATGGGGCTTCCCGGCTCGGGCCGCCGTGACGCCGCGCCCCTACGGCGTAGCTCCGGCTCCCAGCCCGAGGGGCGGCCCCGCTCCGCGGCCTCCGCATCTCCCGCCCCGCCCACCGGCCGCACTGAGCAAGCGCAGCCTGGCCCTCGGGAGTTTCTCTGGGGCTGGGACAGCGCAGGCCGGACTCCTCGCGGGAGTTCAAGAAGGTGGGCGGGGCCGTGCCGGCGTGCTGGCGCGCACGTGACCGCCACGGCTCTCGGGATTGGGCGGTGGACCAAGTCGGGGCCCAGTACGCTTTCGCGGTCTACGTGGAGGTGGCAGGGCCGCTGACGCTGTTGCTGGGGACTCTCCGGGACAGGGGCGCATGCGCCGTACCATTTTTTTTCCTACCAGCAAAGGGGAAGGTTCAAGGAGCCAACAAAAAGCATTTCCGAACATCATCTGGACTGAAATTTTAAAAATAAGGGACTTAAAGACATTCATAGGATATATAGGATTCTTTTAAGGTACCCATTAATAACGTTTATTTCCCACAAACTGAATTATGACCCACTTCACAGCACCTCTAGTATATACCCTAAGTACTGATGGAATTGTCAACAAACAATATATTTTCACTTGTAGGTATCCTTATTTTAATGCTGTTGTGATAACATAATTAGGTGATTATTTCATGAATGCCTTCTTAAAAATCTGAATTCAACAATAATAAAATGAACTAGGGATAGTCACAACAATATGGAAGAAACACAAAATCCATGCTGACTTAAAGAAGCAAGATGCAAGAGTACACATAGCACGATGCCGTTGATAAGACACAAGTGTAATCAATAATGCTGGAAATCAGACCAATAACCGGGAAGGGAATGTTTGGGGTGATGGGAATGTCTTGATCGTGGTGGTGCCAAATGTATACATTTGTCAAAACTCACCGCCTTACGTTTTAAATGTGAGCTTTTCATTCATTCTTAATTACACCTTCATGGATTTTTAGTCCATTGGGCTGTGTTTAAATGAAACTAGTTTCTTAATTTCTTCACTCTTCATATTCAGAGAGGTTAATAATGATAACTATTCCATCAGCCTGTTGTAAAGAACACAGGTGAAAATAATTTGTCCCTGGTACAAAGATGGTTCTCATCCTACAGTTTCGTGACTAATGCAGGGATGATTCCTGACCTTAACAGTTTTATTCCAGTATTAAGCACAAGCCTTGGTACAGAGCAGATGCTCAGTAAGTATTTTAAAATGTTGAATGAGTGAACTCCCTAATAAGTATATTCAATGTGCCGTCATCCCCCATCTTGATTCTGAAGAATGAAATATAAATTCCCTAGCACAGAGTAGAGGTCCTTTAGATAGAATATGTCTTCAGGCCACATTTTCAAAGAGTTTGCAGTCACTAGAGCAGCTGATTGCAGTTTTACTCACTCAAAACTGGACTATGTCTAATGTTCCTTCTCTAATCACAGCTTGTAGAATTCCCAGTCCATCTTAAAGGAAGCCTTTCCTAGCATTCCAGGTCATTGTGATCTCTCCTTGAACTTATATACTCCCTATACATTTAATCTTTATTTCTTATTCATTTATTCAATAAACACTGAATGTCTACATTGTACCAGGCACAGAGCTACACATTGAAGACACAAACACTTGTAGGATATTATGAATGTACTACAATTTGTTGATATATATATACTACTGAGGAGTATTTGGCAATTTCTATGTGGTTTTATTATTAATCCACACTTTGAGAACCACTGCTCTAGAGAAAAAGGAGGCCTGGGAAGCTCAAGGCTGTTTCCAGCCAGCACTCTTGACCATGGCTCCCTGGCCTTGACATTCCAGTGCTCAGGGAGAGAGCACATCTGCTAAAGATGCCAGGACAGGATGAGTGAGTCCCTTCCCTGCAGCCTCTTCTCTGCTGTGTGAGCCCATGTTCTCAAAACTTCCTACCTTCCTTCCCTCCCTTCCTTCCTTCTTTCCTTCCTCCCTTATTATGTCTTCTATGACCTTTCAGGATACTTTGCTTTGGACCCTGCAGTGTGTCTGAATGCTGCTTTTTCAGGTTAGGCTCCACCATCTCACATGTCTTGTAAGGACACAAAGCTGATCCTGAGGTTCACCCACACCCCCTCCAGATGTCATCTCTGAGGCCTCAGTCCCTGACTTTTACAAAAATCACTAACTCTCAGTGACCTCCTTTCCTTCCCATGTGATGGGAAAATGGAATAATGTCCCTTCCTAGAAACACCAGCAATGACTTCCCACATGGGAAGAGCAAAAATAATTGTTGGTCCTTGCTTTCTCTGTTACACTGGCTCACTTATTCTGACAAGAGATTGCTTTTACATCATTGACAGATTGGGGATTGGTTATCCAATTAGATAAAAATGTCTTTTATAATCCTGCCTGGGGACAGAGGTAGAAATGGAGAGGACAACCATGTGTCAAGGGCCCGTATCTTCAGGAATTTGAGGACACAAACTAAAGTTTGGTATATGATCGTGATGAAAAGGAGGGTGTTATAATAAAAAAAAGAAAAGAAAAAAAAGCCCCAAAATGAGAAGGGCCTTGTGGTGCAGCTACCTTGTCAATAACTCAAAAGGAGACCATTGAGTTTATTCATGCTATAAATGCAAGTGCAGTTCCCATCCTTTCCCTTTGTCTACAACACTCCTTAATTTACATATATTTAGGAGACCTCCCTCTCCTTGTTGGAAGCACTTGAAATGTGGCTAGTCCCAATTAAGATGCACTATTAAGTATAAAATTTATACCAGATCCCAAACAGAACAAAAGAAAATATAAAATATATAATTATTTTTATGTTGATTACATGTTGAAATGACACTATTTTAAAGTTATTATATTAATTTAAACTATATTTTAATATGTTTCCCTTTTTATGTGTTTACTAAAAAATGCTTCCTTATTTTATGTGTTTACTAGAATATTTAGAATTACACATTTGGCTAATATTCTATTTTGTCAGCATTTTCCTAAGACCTTCCCTCAGGGCATTTCAGATGGAACATATGCTTTTCAAGCAACCACTTAGTGGTATTCTAGTCATATGTTCCATGTTGGTTCTCAGGGAATCAGAGGCTAAAGTATTGGAAATATTTGTGAAAGGAAGTGGGAAGAAAGAAGATTGGGAAGGGGAACTGTCAGCCTGCCATGCTGACCTGACAGAGTCTCCTTCAGTGTTCTGGGGGTCTCCAGAGCCAATGCTGTTCTTTAGAGGTGCCCTCTTGGTACAGATGTCCAGGCTGCCTTGCTCAGTTATTGGTTGGGGGCTGTTCCAAGAAAAGCATACCTTCCGTTGAAAGCGGAAGCCGCCATGACTCTCAGCTAACCACACTCTTCTCAGCCTGGCAGGGAGTTCTTTCTGGAAGGGCATTCTGAGCTGAGCAGAGCCTGTCAATGCTCAAAGTTGGCTCATGATATCTATATCTATATATCTATATATCTATATATCTATATATCTATATATCTATATCTATCTATCTATCTATCTATCTATCTATCTATCTATCTATAAATAAAAGGCTAAGCAACCGTTGGACTGTCTGACCAGTCTGTAGGTGTGACGTGCAATGACCACTGGGGGGGCAGATGCTCAATGCAGAAGCTGCAGAGCTGTGGGGACTTGGCAGTGGCAGTTCCAGCAGTGATGTACCCCAGAACCAGAGAGGAGGGAGCCCAATTCCTCACAGGGCTGCATGAGTCCACCTTTGACTGTGGGTGGACTGTCGGGCCCCGAATCTGGTTTACCACACACTTGTGTTTGCATTCCACTCCCTGTAGGACAGCAACTTTGCAGAGGCCCTCTTGCACTCTGGGACCCGTTGGGGGATATTGGTGAGCCGGTTTCAGCCTGATTCCCACAGGCCAGACCAAGGGACCCCCCACCTGCCAGAGGGATCCCACTCACTCCGTAGACGCCCTTTGAGCTGTGGTGTGGCCCCAGATACGGCCAGCTGGGGAGAGACCATGGGAGGTTGGCTCCAGGGCATGTCCAGCCCATCTTGACCAATCCTACCCTGCCAGCCACCTTCTAATTAATTTCCTCTCAATGTGCACAAATCATGCACTGGGCCACTAGTTTAGAAATAATTAGAATTACTTGTTACTGAAAAGTCAGAGATTTTCACAACAATATTTGATCTTCTGGCTTTTCTTAGAGGAAAACCACTGGGTCCATATGCCTTTCTGGGAGCAACTGTCTAGAACTGAGCAGTGGGACATGGACTCTCCAACTCCCCCTGCTTAGCCTCCTTCTCACTGACATTCTTTGCCTGGGGGAAGGAGCTTATGTGCCTTGAGGAGTTCCAGGGAGGCTTCAGACTGGAAAGTCTTATAATCTGAATCGTCTAGCGCAAAGTTTTATAGGAGGTGTGAAATAAACGTTTATTAATGGATAAAGGAGTGCCTCAAGTCCCTTTCTTCTAAGGCAACATGGTATGCTGCTCACATGTAGTTCCCCCAAAAGACACTAGGTGGTGGTGTGCGCTCAGAAATTCACCCATATCTGCGCTGCACACACAAAAGATGATCATTAACATCTCACTTGTCATGGGGATGTAAAATACTGCATAGGGAATATAGTCAATAATATTGTAGTAACCAGACATGGTGTCAGGTGGGCACTAGACTTATTAGGGTGATCACTGTAAATTGCCTAAATGTCTAATTGCTGTGTTGTACATCTGAAATGAATATACTATTGTATGTCAATGATAATTGAAAAATAGAAAACTTTTAAAATATTCTAATTTTTATTTATAGGTATGACTTTGAATTCAGTTAACCATGAATGTGTGTGTAACTTCTAATAATATGTTGTAATTT